GGGCAAATCGGTAACATGCACCTAAACAGCCAGTGCGCATCTCAACGCATACATGCTGGGTGCTCCAACCGAAAACCTTCGAAAGAACTCTTCACTCTTCGAACGCCTCGCTTTTGATTGACCCCTGACCGTGGAAAAAAAGAAGGGAGCGTCCTCGTACAGAGTTTATGTGATCTAGATTCTTTATTGAACATAATTTGGAATAGATTGGGAATCATTGTGAAAACTTAAAGACGGGTCTATCGCACGCATAGGGATCTATGCCAGAGTACCGCCGTCTATGCGCCGGTTTTTGGACAGACCCCTGTGTGTAAGGGTTTATGCCTATCAGGGTAGACGGGTAGGGGTAAGGGTCTATGCCTTTTCCGATAGACCCCGATAATACAGGTACCTATTCTAGAACAAAAGGACGGCTACTACAGGGAACCATTTCCTTGAAGGAGGGTTAGAGGAAAACCCATGAAGGTCATGATGTGCATGTGCAGTGGCGCAGTCATGACCGGTGCGCTGCAGTGCACATGGGTCGAGAGTATTTGCCCCTTGTGAGCGGAGCTCGCCCTTCCCTTAAGCGACCACGTCGCTTCAGGGACATCCCGTTGAACCATTCAGCGTTTCTGTGTGTGTGTGTGTGTGTGTGTGAATCAGTGAAGGTGGGGAGACCGGTTGGTGTTCGACTTAAGGGCAAACCCGTTCCGCGCCAACTGATCTTCTCGTAAATGCGATGCGAGTTGCGTTTGGTCGGGCCGCTGAAGCCCCACCCTCAAGACCTCCGCGGTGGTGCCCGTGCCTGCCCCACAGCTATGCTTGCCTCTGCGCCCGACGGGCCTCATCCACCAATGCCTCGGGTTTTACCAGACGTTTTTGAGCCTGTCGCCTCCAGCCCTGGCCTGGCCGGACGAAACTCGCTCAAGCAATGTCTCGGAGAAAACGGGAGTGTGTCTTTTGGGGTTGGGTCTTGCCCTGCGGGCTTAGAGAAGGCTACGGGTTTATGTTACGCGCAGCTCCCGCCCAAGGAGTCTCTTTCAGCCAGCAGAAGGAGGCCAGCCAAACTACATGTCTAAGCCACAGCAAGCCGGCCGTGGCCAGAAAAGCGGGGCATGTTGGTTGAAGAGGGCTGTGAAGGACTATGGGGGGTTTCCCTACCCCCATGCCCTTACATGCATTTGCGTGCGTGTTGAAGTTTTGATAACGCATTTTTCCTTAGACCCCGTATACTGGAGTCAGCTATGCGCAATGGTTCTTACCGCCCAGCCGACTGTTGCGACAGTTTCCTCATGTTTCCAATTGTTTCCATACCTTTCCCCACTTTGCCTCAACTTCAAGTGCCCACTCATTGATTGCGCTCCGAAGACCAGCAGGCTGTCCCCCGTGCAGACCATGGTGTGTCCTTCCCGGCGCACCTTGGCCACCGCCACCGACTCTGCGATCTGCACTACACTCACTACACTCACTACACTCACGTCTGGCGGTGTTGGTTCTTCAGGCGCGATCCGACAATTTGCAAGCCAAGCGGGACACACGAAGACTAGCGACAACTCGCAAAGAATCGCAGAAGCGAGCGACGTGAAATTGAGCGAAGACCTACGGAGACAAGAGAAGAAAGGCGAAGACGGACGAAGCGAAGACGCGCAAAGAAACACACCAAAACGAGACGAGGGAAAACATGAAGAAGAAGAACGAAACGGCGATAGGCGAAAACGAGAGACATGCGATGGCGCTTGGTGTCGCTGTTTTTTCCCCGCACCTTTTTCCATCCGCAGAGAGTGATTCGCGGGTTGGGGCCGCATCCGTCGCGCTGCCCTGGGCGTTCGGCGAGCAGGTCCCAACGGAGGTTCCTCAAGCAACGTCTGTGCATGAGCGCCAGCGACACGAGGCAATGCCGCCGCCGGGTGAGCGCCCGCCCTGCGCCCGCGCCCGCGCCCGCGCCCGCGCCCACGCCCGCGCCCACGCCCGCGCCCACGCCCGCGCTGGGGCTGAAATGCCTTCCAACCTCCATGCCGAAGACGACCGGCCAACATCGCCATTGCCCCCCCGCCCGCAGCTCAGGGTACACGCGGTGGCCGAGCGCACCTGAGTTCAACATCGGCTTCTGGGCGCGGCCCTCCGCGCCGCGGCAACGGGCTCACCAGCTTCGTGTCGATGGCGATGTGAGCTCCGTGCCACAACGGCAGGCCGTGAGCCACCTCGATGCGGCGGCTCTCGGGGCAGATGCAGCACTCTCAGATGCGGTGCGACCTGGCATGAAATCATCAACCAGGTGCCGCAAATCGGGGGCAAGCCAGCACGCCAGAGTCGTAAGAGAGATCCTTCCCACCACGTCGGCGTCACATGCCTTGCGTATATACAAAAAAGCGCAACATGTGCTCGAACCTCCTCTGAGTTCTAGAATTTCCCGTAAGGTGTACACATGCAGGTCCGCTCCCATCGAAATGAGTCAATTTCTGGTCGAATACGATGCAAGGTCATCTTTTCAAGCGTTGTGAGACTTTCCTGTTTAGAGGCGCCGAGTTGGATTTCGTGTTGAGTAGAAGCTGTATGCAGAACACTTGTGTAGGCGTGCACAGTCATGTATTCGAGTACAGCTATGTTGACACATGTTCCTGCATAACAGGCGCCTGGGGCTCAGATCGAAAAAGCGCAGCTACGTAGTTTGTCACTGTGACTCCGGCCCCAGTACCCCGCTTCTGAAACTGGTAAGAGAGAGCTAAAGGGGATTTGGGTGTGAGCCAAGAGAGCCGAACGAATAGCAGCGCTGCCTGTCTACTTGAGGCTTATCGCACTTTGCAAGTCTGACGCAATGTCGGTAGCTGGGCTGAAGTACGACCCCGTACTGAGTTTAGACACCCCAGCAGAGACTAAGTCGGGGAGCTCGCGTCAGGAGTGAAGAGCTTCAAGCCAAAGATAAGACGGGCAGAGATCGTGCGCGATCTCCGCCGGAGCAAGACTCCGATGCATTGATGGAGCAAAAGCGTAAGAGTTCTTGGAAGCACGAGCGTTTGAGACGAGCCATTGTCTCGAGTTGCTCAAGTTGTGCAAGGAGGGCAAGCCCGAAAGAACTCGAAGGTCGATGTTTCCAGACGCGACAGAAGATGAGCTAGCCACAAGTTTCGGAGTTTACAGGCACGGTGGATTATCCAACTCCACCAAGCAGCGCCCGCGTTTTGTGACTTATTTGAGTTGCTTCTTGCGACACCGCTGCGAGAAAGGCGGGTTCAACCTGGAATGCGGTCCAAGTAAGCGAATACCGAGCGGAGTTGCGCAAAGATAACTCGAATATGAAAGGCATGCCCAACTTCACCACGAGCTTAGGAGGTTATTCCAAAGGAGGTCACGTCTGGGTAGAAAACCCCCAGGGCGACGCTGTGATTGACGTGTGTGTGGCAAGCTTGTTCCCGGAACCAAAGAAGCTCCACATGGTTGAACGTTACGAAGGGCAGAGATTCAGCATCATTGGGTTCACCATGAATCATCTAGGAAAGTTACGCACCGACGAACTCCAAATGTTGCAGGAGCTGGAATTCCCACAGCCGCTCGACCCGCAGCATCATGCGCAGCACTCCCGTCAGGAAGAGAACGAGCATGCAGATGACATGGGTTCTTCCGACGACGAAGCTGTCGCAACCGGCTACTTGGCCTCACTACTGGACTACCGCAACAGTCCTGCCGAGGCACAATTGGGCTTGGACGAGGCTATGGTCGGTGAGTGGACCAAGTACCAAGAATTCCACGCAGTGGTGCCCTGCTAAAGAAACAGGTGGAAGAGTTGCTTCGCCAAGGCCACATCTGCGTACCCACCAAGTGTGTGCTTGCCGATAAGCACGAACACTTGAAGGGCACGCCCGGATATCGCCCTAAATACTCGTAGCTTGCGGCAACTTCGAACACATCTCGACAGGGGAGGACATTAGGGCAGACCCCCCAACAGCTGAGCCGGAAGCACTAGCTGCTAGCTTTCAGCTGTTCCTGGGCTTCGTCATTAGGTTTGCGAGTCAAAGCCGACATCACGAATGCCTACTTCCCAGGAAAGCACTTGAGAGGTGAGGATCAAGGCACCTCGAAATCCCAAGGGTGTCCCTGACAAGGAGATTCAAGAATCGGGATACATGATCGCGCGTGTTCCCGTGTACGGCAAGACGGATGCCGGAAGGAATCTCTACCATTGCATAGTCGAAGTGACCAAACTCATCGGACTGAAGTCCTCCCAGATCATGTTTGCACTATATGACGCGCGCGATGAGAGTGGCAAGTTGTGTGCCTTGTTGTGCACTCATTCTTTTGGGCGGCGTTCGGTGGGGGCGAGTTGAAAATCCAGCAGCTGTTGGATCATTGCAAAATCGGGCGAATCGAAGAGCGCAATTTCAGTTTCTGCGGTAGGGAGTACACGCAGCGCACCGATGGCACCATCGAGATTAATTCAAGAGATAACACGCGTGCTGTCACTCCTCTCGAAATCCCCAAAAATGCCAAAATGACGACACCTGTCACACTTGACAGAGAACAGCGCTACGGTCTGTCATCGGCTCACTCGCTTGGGTGGCTCGAGCCACCCGACCTCATGTATCGTGTCAACGCACTGCAACAGCGCGTTACGATTGCAACTGTGGAGACGATGAAAGAGGCCAATAGGGTGGTTGCACTAGCCCTAGGCGACTGTGTTCCGCGCCAAGATGCTGCCGTGGGGCAGTGGACCCCTGGCGGTGGTCACATTTTGTGATGCTTCGTTCGCAGCGGAACCTGGGCACAAGTCTCAGAGAGGAAGATTGCATTGCCTCACTGATGCAGAAACTGCTCGTGATGTAAATGCACGCAAGCGCAAGTTTCATCTGGTGGCGTTTGGTAGCTCTACAATGAAGAGGGTTTGCCGATCGACACTGCAGTGTGAAGCATAATATAGTTTGCAACGCGCAACTGATTACGGTGAAAGAATCCGCGCGACAATCCTTGAGTTGCAGGGCAAGCTGCCATCGTTGCATGACTGGAGTGAGTTGGCACCGAGGAAGATGCTACACCTGCAGTACTCCGACTGTAGGTCCAGGTCGCTCACAGATCACTTGTTGTCGTCAGTGCCCAGTCCCGTGGAGGATAAGCGTCTCGCTATCGAGATGACAGCGTTGCGACAAGCACTCTGGATTGACGACACGCCAACAAGTGAGGCCTTTACGCCATTCGGTGACATCCTGCGCTGGATTCCAACCCACCTTCAGTTGGCGGATTGCTTGACCAAGAGCAGGAAGCCCAAGCTTCTGAACGACGCCTTGGAGTGCAACGAGGCCGTCGTCAAGGAAGCACCAGCTGAGTGAACAGTCTCGCTTTAGTTTGAGGCGCACTCATCCACTCGCCGATAGGACGGGTGTGAGATTTTCCTGTTTAGAGGCGCCGAGTTGGAATTCGTGTTGAGTAGAAGCTGTATGCAGAACACTTGTATAGGCATGCACAGTCATGTATTCGAGTACAGCTACGTTGACACATGTTCCTGTATAACAGGCGCTTTGGGCTCAGATCGCTACGTAGTTTGTCACTGTGACTCCGGCCCCAGTACCCCGCTTCTGAAAAGCGTGTTCGCAAAACATGACGTCGAAGTGATAGGGCGAACTCCGCCGAGTGCGCTCTTCTGGGAATGGGAACAAATACACCGTGCTTCCAACATGGGGGCACGCAAACTGGAAACTGACACGCATGGCCAAATGCTAGTGTCATAACGGTTTCCCTTGTCACATGCATTAACGTGCGTGTCAAAGGTTTCCTAACGCATTGACCTTAGACCCCATAATAGGGCACCACGGTGATGCCCGCCGCCCAGCCGACTGTTGCGAGAGTTTCCCCAGGTTTCCAATTGTCTCCGTACCTTTCCCCATTTTTCCTCTACTTCAAGTGCCTGGCACTCACGTCTGGCGGTGTTGGTTTTTCAGGCGCGATCCGACAATTTGCAAGCCGAGCGAAACACAAAAAACTCGCAAAAATCGCAAAAGCGAGCGACATGAAATTAAGCAAAGACACAGGGAGACAAGAGAAGAGAGGCGAAGACGGACGAAGCGAAGACACGCAAAGAAACACACCAAAACGAGACGAGGGAAAACACGAAGCAGAACGAAACGGCGATAGGCGAAGACAAGAGACATGCGATGGCGCTTGGCGTCACTGTTTTTCCCGCGCCTTTTTGCATCCGCAGAAAATGATCCAAGGGTTGCACCCCATCAGTCGAGCATGTCGAGCTGGGCGCTCGGCGAGCTGGTCCCAACGGAGGCTCCTGCTCATCCCCCGCGTCACGCGGCTGCAGCGGCAGCTCAAGCAACGTTTGTGCATGAGTACGCACGGCCGCCAGCGACGCAATGCCACTGCCGGGTGAGTGCCCGCGCTGCGCGCGCAGGCGCCCGTGCCCGCCCCCGTGCCCGGGCCAAATGAAGGCGAGGGCGCTGGGGCTGAAACGCCTGCCGGCCTCCATCTGGAGACGACTGGCCGACATTGCTGTTGCCCCCCCGCCCGCAGCTCAGGGTACACGCGGTGTTTGCGCGCCTGTGCCACAACGGCAGGCCGTGAGCCACCTCGATGCGACGGCTCTCGGGGCAGATGCAGCACGCCCAAATGCGGTGCGACCTGGCATGAAATCATCAACCAGGTGCCACAAATCGGGGGCAAGCCAGCACACCAGAGTTCCCTGGACTCGTCGGTCTTTCGGGTCTGCCGCTCACAGCCGAGACATGCCGCTGCCGCCGTGCCCATGACGCCCTTGGAGACCCTCGCTGCGTGCCCTCGGTCCGGTGTCCTGCGTGCCCGTGGTGGGTCTGCCATCAGGCTCCACAGTCATGCAGCATGTCCTCCTGCGGGATTTGAATGTCGAGCCCCACCGCTGCGATGAGCAACGCGTTGAGGTCATAGCCAACGGGCTGCTTCCCTCGGGAACGGAGCTCATGTTGCAGATGGGACGACGTTGGTTTCTGCGCTGACATCCCAGTCAATTCCCCGGCGAGATGCCCCACCTCCCCCGCACCCCCCACCCAAACACCCCAAAAAAAGGCCTACTACATGAAGGGTTCCTGGGGGCACGCTAGGGTTTAGGGTTTAGGGCTTAGGGGTCTAGGGCTGTAAGTGGCAGCACTACTGAGGCAGCACTGACCGAGGCAAGCAGGGCCAAAGAGCGCACCTACCCTGAACTGGTGCGATCGCGCCGTTGCCACCTCACAGTCCTCGGCATTGAAGTCGGTGGCCGCTGGAGCCAAGAGGCGGCCACCGTTGTTAGACAGCTCGCACGCAGCAGGGCCCGAACGATGCCATTGCCAAGCCGTGCGGCCTACACGTCTGCCCTTGCGCTGCAGTGGTCCGCCCTGCTGTCATTCGCGGTCGCCCGGGCCTTCGCCGCCAGCATCCTCGCCATGCCCCTGGCTGGCGCCTCCAATCTCGACGGCGAGCTGCTCCTCGCCAGCGACCTTCTTGCCGACTCGTCCGAGTCACCGTCCCTTGCTACCCGCATGCCGTGATGCGGCATCTGCACTAGGACCGCCATATACCGCCATTGTATGGATCGGCGCAAAACAAAAGTGTGGAAACAAAAAAAGAACAGAGTGGCAGCGCGTTGTGCCTGCTCGGCGTGACGAGCATCGTATCGAAGTCATCGCCAATGGCCTCCCACTTTGGGCTGGGGCCCAAGTCGCTGTTGATAGCACGCTCGTTTCGCCCCGCATCCTCAGCTGAGCCACCGCGCCTGAGGGGCACCAGCTGCGTTGCGTGCTGCCCGTCGGCTCGCGGCGTTGCCACCTTGTTGTTCTCGGCATTGATATCGGCGGCCGGTGGTATGCCGAGGCAGCATCTTTCATCCGCTTGCTCGCCCGCTGCCGGGCTGCACCCCCACCATCCCGAGCTGCCAGCATGTCCGCCTTCGCACTCCGATGGTCAGCACTCCTCACCTTTGCAACTGCCAGGTCTATCGCAGCCAGACTACTTTCCTTCCCCCTGGTCGGGACCGCAAATCTTGATGCGGAAACGCCGCTCCTCAGTGACGTCCTTGCAAACTCTTCCGAAGGTCCTGCCCTTGCCAGCTGCTTGGCGTGAGTCGTCTGCCCGCTCCCCACACTCGCCTCCCGATCATGTAGGCATCTGCGATGCCAGTTGCACTGGGACCGCGATGAACGGTGAGCAAACAACTGCGCAGACAAACAAAAGAAACAAAACATTTCGTCGTTTGTCACACTCATTGTGTTTGGATGCTTGATTCTGCATCAGCTGAGATCACCGCAGCTGTTTGCCTGGTAGGTCAACACGCAATGTGCTAAGATGGTTATCATTGCTCAATAGTGCCGTATAGAAATTTTCGCTTACGGGCATGCAGGACTTCCTACTTACTTACTCACTCACTTACTTACTTACTTACTTACTTACTCATTTACTTACTTATTTACTTACTTACTTAGAAATTTTCGCGGAGGTATGCATTGGCGTTTTGTGCTAGTTTCAGGACCGCACAGCACATGCGTTTCATATGCGTATTGGTGCTCTTGATTTCCAAGCAGAACGCGTCGAGCCTCGGCTTGATTGATCCATGTTAAAAGATTTTTAACATGGCGGAGTTTTGTGTTTAAGTTCTCGATGTCTGGCCATGAATCAAAGGTGTGTGCGACCGTCCCAATGCTGTACCGAGATCAGGCTCCAGATGTTGTTTTGGCTTAGACGTGCTGAACTAACCGTGCATGTTGCTGCACAGCTAGCCGGTGATTCTTTGCCTCGTGAAGGACACCAACAGACCCACGCATTGCAGCGAACAAGATGAAATTAGCTTGCCAGGAGATATTGTTCCACCAAATGGGGGAAACTCAAAGGGGACGCAGATGCTGTTCTGCCCGCGCAGGAAGATGCGTTGGATCACGGTGAAAACGCGACTTGACATATTGCATGAAATATGGCGGCGCCATGCGGCTGTCATCAGCAAGTATTGCCAGGCACAGCAATGGACATCAGGGTATAGGCCACAATCCGCTACGTTAGCTGTCTCTTCCAGGATGTGCGTTCAAAATTTGTGAATGTTGTGATGCATTTATGGGTTGAATTGTGCAAATGCAGCATTCAAAGCAAAAGCTCTCGGCTACACGGGCTTTCGATATCGAAGGAACGGGAATGCAGGCTTCGCGGTGGGTTGTGCCGTCGCTTCTGACCCCAGGCTTTCCGTCATAGGTGATTTGGATTCTATGGCCCCAGCCATTTTCGGGTTTCCCTCCTCGCCCTCCACGATCCGTACCCACCGCGCCTCTGTCCGCCTTGCCCTTCAAAGTCTAGGCGCAATGTGGGCTTTTCCGGTTTATTTATTGGCTTTCTGTCGCTGATTGCATTCACTCTCTTTAATTCATAAGTGGGGGGCAGACCTTGTGTCTATCATCTCAGGCCTCGAAATAATAATACAGGATAAAGCCTCAATCGTAATCTTTGTGCTTTTGGCCTTCAATTTCTTAATCGCAGACATCATTTTCAATATATAAGGCGTTTTGCTAAAGTTAAATTATGGAAGCTTCTCGTCTCAGTCTTTTCACTTTTTTTACCCCGAGCAGTAGAGGGGCCCCACATGACAGCCCCCATGCCTCCTCGCACAAAAGTTGCGGAGCTGTCCGGGTGGCGAAGGCGAGCCCGGACAGGATGGCCACGACGGACTTCGCAAGGTTTGGGGTTCAGGCTTTTGGGACCCTGTCGACCTCGCGGGTTTAGTAACCTCTTCGATTTTTACATTCGGGCCTGACCACCTCACTGTATCGTTTAGAGTTGGCTGTGACCGAGCTTCTGGCATACCAGGCTCGCTGCAAAAGGGGTTCTAAGGTTGCGGGGTTAAGGTGAAGGATCTTTTCGACGGCTTCGCTCGGAGCCTGACCACCTGTCTTTATTGCTTGTCCTGGGCGCAAGTCAGACTCCAGGTTTGGACGTCACATGCTCGGTGTGCTGCTTGTGGCATGCAAGGTGACTGTTGCAACGCTCCGCATCTTGGCGGCGTCAACCCTTTGCTTTTTGGTTCTTTTGTCAGTAGTTTCATATTTTGTGCACGGGCCAACACACCAAGGCCACTGCGCAGAAGAATTGCAAGATTACGCGCATGCCACACGGGCCGGCTTGTCACTTGCACGAACATTTTCGCTTGCGCCAAAAGGCTTACATGCGGCAAATCTTGTTTTTTGGAGCCAAGGGTGGACTCCATAGAGGCAGAGAAGGCGCGTGAGTTTGGGGCAGTTCCATGCCAGGAATCATGATGATCTTTTTCAGGGGTCTGATAACTTTTTGGCCATCTAGTGTGTTTGAAAAAGCCATTGACGAGGAATTTGTGGAGCAATACTCCAAGGCTGCACAACAGATTGCCAAGTTAGGCGACGTCGAGCTTTGATCGCGTTTGTGGTTGGACGTGCAAGATGTAAACTGTGTGCAGAGACTCCATGACAAGCTCAGGACAACATGTGGCAAAGCGTTCAGCAGCTCGGTAGTACTCCAACGCGCAATGTGGCATGTAATTTCGGTAATTACGACGCAAAGGACGGACACCAACAAATCGCTGCAAGCGTTGTTGGGCAACTCGATTCTATTGGTTTGGGCTGGAAGTGGTTGGAAAACGTCGTTGTGCAGCTGGCTGTCCATTGCTGTCCCATTGATACTGCGACGTCAGTTTCGGCAGAGGTGATGCAGATGCGACACAAAAGCTCGCTGAAGAGATCCGCACCCAGAAGCATAACTTGATTAATGGGATGCTTTTGTGCAAGTGTGATTGCCAGTGCCACTCTGTGAACTCCAAGGGTCGTAGCCAAGGACATCAACAGATCAAAAGGCTACTAACCAGGAATCTTCAAATTGAATGTGTGAATCCACACAAGCTTCGCCAACCAACGGTTGGTGATAGCCGCGCCGTGAAAAAGGGGGTCCCACATTGACCGGTCCTACATTGACCCTCGCCTTGAGCATGGCCAGTTGTGCGCAAAATGTGTCCAGCAGCATGGAGGACAGCATGTTTCCAAGCAGAGCGGCGAATTCGTGCCGCATCGCTTTCTGAATCACTTCGAACATTACATGAGCGTTTTCGAGCGCATAGGCCTCATTGTGTAGGCAATCTTGTCAGATAAAACACGTTGTGCGATGCATGCAGTTGTGACAAGAAGGTTTGCCAGACAGCATGGCAGAAACAACCGCAACCGCACTACGTGGTGTTTTCTGCAGCGGAACATGACGCCATGGTCAATGTGCTGGGCAATGGCGTTGTCGAGTTTGGCGAGTTGGGGCCTGGGCGGTAGCGCATCGAAGGCATGGATGTCGAATCGTCGTGAAGCAGTGAGCATGGCATTTGAGAGCGCATTGTCTGCGCATAGCTGCTCCTGGCGTGCAGGACCTTGCGTGCCCAACATTGCCGCAGGGCGCATTGGGCATGTGTGTGGAAGAGTGCGAGTCAAACAATGATTGCCCACTGCCAAGCAAGCTTTGCTCTTGTTGAGATTCGGGACTGCTCGGACATCCTATACGCCAGCACAGGTGACTTGAAGGGCAAGGTCAAGCAGTGGTGCTGCTGCTTGCCTGCATAGGCTAGTTCGAAAGATTGGAATCCGAGTAGGCTAGGCTTCTTGTTGCAGGTCCCAACGGGTGCGGTCATGTTTGCATGATGCCGGTGAGGCTCCTCTTGAAAGGGTGGCGTAGCCGACCTGGTGCAAACAGTGCTTGAGCATGTCCCTGCCACAGGGCGGAGCACGCAGCCCCAACAACTTTCGTCATTATAGCGGTTCTTCGGAAGGCGATGTCAGCTGCAGAGTTGTCAAAGCTTGTGGTAATCTTGGTACGCACAGATCGCACAGCCAGCAGACACTTGATGCAGCATTTGACCAGGGCGCAGCCTTTGCAGATATTGTGAAGATGCTGCCCATGCCTAGTTCGAAGTCCGAGCTGCGCTCGTTGCTTCCAGATTGCATTTACCACGACTCGCAGAGCAGCATCATCTGCATGTGAATTCCGTTCTTACTGTTCTTTCCGTTCTTCGAGCCATGGAAGCACGTGCCTGCATGTGCCTGCATGTGCCTGCATGTGCCTGCATGTGCCTGCATGTGCCTGCATGTGTCTGCGTGCGCCTCTTAGGCATATGTTGACAGTGAGATATGCTGATGATGGTGGCCGTGATGCATGTCAGGCCATGTGTGCCGCGTAGTAATTGCCTGAGTGGGATTTGCTGGATGCTGACTGGCAGGCTTTTCGTCTGCTTTCAGAAAATGACCAGGCAGTTTGTGAGCTGTTGATGCATGTTTTTCTGCACTTCCCTGCAGTAGTGATTGTTTGGGCCAGGTCTCCTCAGTCGAGTGGGATGGAGCCCATCCGAGTTGCACAAAGACGGAGCTGTAAAACAATGCTCTGGCAGCCTTTAGCATGCGGAGAGCAGCAGACTGGCGAACGGACAAGTTCAAAGGTTCCAAGGCTCGTTTGGCTCTTGACACAGTCACAACATGTCACAACGTCTCGCAACGTGTCACAACGTGTCACAACGTAGTCTGACATAGTGGTTGCAACACTTCGAGTGTACTCAGTACACATATGACATGGCAAGTCAGCATGTCCTTCCACCCCTAGGTCCTAGGTGCCCTGAAAGTTCCATCAGCGTAACCTGATGCCATGCAACGCTTGCCTCCCCGTGGGCGAGATGCTTATGCCAGCCCAGGATATTCGGACCACGGACAAGTTGCAGGATACCCCCGTGCAGCAGTGGTGCTAGTGGTGTTTTTCGCCCTGGTTTTACTAGTTTCGCCGCTTGCTGACCGGCCATCAACACGCAGCCGTCAGGCTGTAGGCCAGGCACCTGGCTTCACGCCGGCACCATTTGGTCTGCCATCATTTTCCCGCGGGGATTTACGCAGAAACTGCAGAAGTCTACGCAGCTGCCGCACGCAGTGTCGTTGCATCATTGAAACTGATCCCGTGGAGCTTGATGCGGCGGTTCGTAGCGGAGGTGCGGTGGTACTAGATGTCTATGCCGTATGGTGCCCCAGCATTCGTTTATAGTTTCATCATGATTCGTTTTTGTGCTTTGGGGTTTTGTTTCTGAGGCGTCGGGGCTAAATGGGGCTGGGCCACCGAAGAGACTGTCACTGCAGGTGCGGACCGTGCAAGCTCTTGGAGCCTGCGCTGCGCAAACTTTCAAGGCGACTTTCAAGTGGCGACTTTGATGAGGATGGCATTCCTCGGCCGCAAGTGCTGCGCTTGGACAGTGACCGACACACCACCAAGGCAGGAGTCACGACGAGATCATACGATGGAACTACCAGAGCAATACGCCGAGCAACGCTGTAGTGATGATGCCCCTTGTTGTGGGGCAAGCCATAAGCATGAGCACCATTGGAAGGATAGGAGGGGAGGCGGCTCCTTGACCTTATGTATGATTTACTTGGGGTTTAAACTGAAATGTGTTTGAATGTGTGAATGTGTCTGAATGTGACGGAATGGTGGTGTTGTAAGGATCTGTAGAGATTCAAAGAGGATGCTGTCGCGACACGCCGTTTCGGCTGACCTTGTGCCTCAAGAATCCTTTGCGAGGATTTGCCACCAGACCGGTTTTGCATTGTCTTCTCTTTGCATACATGAGGACATCCCGAGAGGCGAAGGCCGAAGTGCCTCTAGCGACCAAGCTTTTCTGTCGAGCCGCTGAAGCGCTTTACCGCGAGAGTGTTCAGGGCTCAAGGCGCAGCTCCACAGGCCAAGCCTCCATGCTCTGGCAGATTTCGGGCTCCAAATTCGAGGGCGAGACTCCAGCTGAGCCCCCTTGAATTCTTAGAGGTCGGCAGCAGTGGGACCACAGGCAGAGGCCCAGCTCATGAGGGCAGACCCCACCTTGTCCATGACTGTGGTCAACCCCAACAAGCCCCTTTCTACCCAAACCCTGGTTATACAGTTCTACACAAACCATTGAACCCTAAAATCCTATCGTAATGCCTGCATTGGGCCTACATCCCAAACGAAAACGAAACCCCCCAAAAGGCTCGTTTGCCTTGCGCGACTGTGAGTCGACATCCCGCGAAGTACCCGAGAAACATCAATATTGCGTGACTGTATGTGACTGTGAGAGTCGTAACCCTTTAACACTGTAAACCCCAAGCGGTGCACTGCGAAACCAGCGGAAATCTTGCAGCAAGACAATCTGCAAAAAGGTTGTGGAGAACCAAGGGAAAACTTCTCGCAATTTTGGCCGGAAGAGAAGCCGCAGCGCACATAGTTTGCTTTCGATGGCAGAGATTCTGACTCCTGGTCCAGAGCATACATACCTCCTCGGCCTTGTGGGGAATTGTCTTCATGGGCCCGTTCGGAAGCCTTCACGTGTTGCGCAGGCATGGAACCAAGCCAAGGGCACCACACCCTGCCGGGATAACTATGCGTGTTCGGAGTGTTGACCTCGTCGTCCGTGCCGCTTTACCACCAAGAAAACGGCTGGTCTGCACCGAGTGCTTTCTTCACTGTCGTTCTCAAAAAAAGTGTCGGAACTTGAGTTCCTCATCGTCTTGCAAAGATGCATTACGTTCTTGGCCAAGGTTTGGCGTCTCCTGTCCTGCATTGCGCTCTTCTTTGTTTGGGGCGCCAAGCACTTTGATACAATGCTTCGTTCTGGATGTCGAGCAGCACATGGGAGGATTTGACCCCCTCGTAAACTTTAGTATCCTTGTGGAAGGGGCAATCGCGCCATCGGTGATGCTTAGCGGTGGGTCATGGTTGCCGTCTTTATCTGGGCTTCGCCCCAACAGAACGTGAATGCTCAAGGTCAATCAGTGTGTCACACAACCCACGTCGGTCTTTGTGACAACATTCCATGTCTCAGCTTGAAGGCCCCAAATGGAAGCTGCAGATTTGTACTTTCAGGTCTTTGGTCGTGAAAGCCGTGGCTTTCAATTTTCTCACTGGGGGTCGGTGAGGGGGAGCGCACCTACTGTCCAAACAGGCCTCGCAGTCCTCCACAATGCATGTTGTGCATCAAATGTAGTGATTTTCTTGTGCAGTCTCTTTACTCATTCGTACATGCACTATATAGCTTACTGGAAATGCGGGAAATTCTCATGTCACGTGGGCCTAGTTCTCGGCATTCTGTATGGTTTCTTCAACAAAACACTTGTTTCAACTTGTATGATCCCAGCCCCGTGGAAGTTGCAGACGAAGACTGCCAGCGATTGAAGAGATTCCCGCATTCGGTTTTGATGTCATACTAGCCGGCAACCATAGATTTTTGACCCACACCTCAGCACGATTGTATCGGCCTTGAAGCTGTGGGCCGCCCCAAGCTCCCGAACAAGACAGTGCTGTTTCTTTTGCTAGACTTTCTGTCGTATCATGGCCTCGTTCTTCACCAGACTTATTCACTTTCCCTTGCCAGCACAAGGGCACCGATGAGGAACTTACCCGTGAGGACCATCTCCTGCACTGTACCGACGTCTCCCGATGGATGGCCCTGGATCCCTGCCTGGACTACTTTAATAGCACCGCCTCCAATCAGTACCTGCCCTCTTGCGGTTAATTTCAGCTTAGCAACTTTTCCCTTCTTGCAGAAACTGGCAATCCCTTCCTCTCACATGTTTGCCTGTATTGATGGTTTTGCTCAAAGAATAGAATTATGTGAGCAAGCGCCAAAACCTCCAGCCATTCAATTAAGTAAGGGGTGGACACGAATGCCCAAAACCCTGTAAAACGATGGGAACGCTTGAAAAGCGACACCCCTAGGTTAATGAACCGTTGGGTGTGCCATAGCCGTGATTTTTTCCCAAAGCGACACCTACAAACATCAAGCGTGGATGATTGATGCTAAAACCCTGTAAAACGATGGGAACACTTGAAAAGCGACACCCCTCTTGTTGCGTCCATTAGCACCTCGAGCCAGTTTTGGCAGTCGCTCATGTATTGTGATAGCCCGGCTGGTTGGGGTTGCGCCATCACAGATGCCCTTCTTGACACCCTCTCCTTCCGGCCAGTCAATTGAAGGGTCCCCCCCCCCCCCCGCCCGGCTTCAAACAATACGCCTGAGTGGAGCTCTTTGATTACCATATTCACTATGCTTACCTATCTCCTGGCTCCCAAATTCTTATTTGCACATTCCTTTTACGCTCGCAACTTGATCCTGGGCACCCCGCACAAGAACATGTCAGCACAATACCGCCCTCTGCTGCCTTTACCATGTGACTTTCTTCTTGGTGTCCCTGCCTGTCATGCCAGCCGCCACCGCATGTCAACCAACCTTCTCTGCTCGGGATTGCCGTGGTGGCGACCATGGAAGCCTCCCGAGCGATAAATGCGCGCTGCTGCCCTTTGCGCTTAAAGATCTCGAGTCGCAGCGTGGAACAAACGAAAGCGTGCCCGTGCTGAACACTCCGTGATGCAGCATGATGCAGCCAAGCAGCTTTGGCATGAGGAACATGCTTGTCGGGACTTTGCGTTGGAATGCAGTCCTTGCTCGGTGCTGAACCAGTATGTCGTCAGTTGTCGGTCGTTTTTTTGCAGTGTCCGGTAAGCTGGTAGCATTGTCTGCCGAAGCAATTGGAGAGCCTCGCTCAATTGAAGTTGTTGATGTCGGCCGTTCGGCAGGCAACCGCCTTAGGTGTCGAAGGCCTCCCAACGGTAATCTTTTACAAGAATGGCTGAGGCCTTAGAAGACTCACAATCTCATCGAGACTGGGCAAGAGTCTGCAAGAGTTTGTGGTGCCTTGCGGCTGATGCGGCTGAGGTGCGGAGACAGGTCGATTTGAGGGGTCTGCGAGCTTAGCTCAGCTGGAGGATGCGGCAGCTGCGGCACTGGGGTTGGTGGAGCTCTTAGGCACGCATCAAGCAAACAGCCAAATCATGTTTTTTGGGAACGTTTTTGTCGGGATTGCGCTGGACGTTTTTGCTGTTCACCAGACGACACTGGATTGGATGCAGAAGTCAGCAGCTTGGAGGACCGTCTTCGTTGCAGCATTCGAGGGAAGATCACCCGGTGGTGCCTGCGGTTACGGGTGGTTACAGTTACCGAGACGAAGGGTGTGCGACAGGGAGTTCGATTTCTTTTGGTTGTCTCAAATGCCGAGCGAACGTTGTGCCACATTGTGCACTGCGCACCGACAGGAACTGGAATTGACCGTGCAAATGGAGGACGTTCTGCTGCTTGGTGTCCTCGGTAGCGGAATCTTTGAAGCATTGTGCTGAGTCTATTGATGCAAGGACAGTTTTCTCTCGCCCGGGGCCATATTGACTCAAGCACCTGTCTCGGCCTTTCGGCCGCCTATATGGTCAACGTTAGAACGCTATTCTAGTCATTATGACGACTTCTCAGCAGAGCATTTTTCAGGGCTATTCTAGTCATCATGACGACTTCTCAGCAGAGCTTTGTCAGGGGTAGCAGTTCGGTCGGTACTGGGTGACCACGTTTAGTCGTACTGGAGCGATCAGCATGGCATCTTCGCTTACAGGACCACTGTAACCTGCAGCTGCTTGCTTAATAGGTCTGAGTTGCTGTGCCTCCTAATCCGTGGCGGTTGGACATCCACCAAGCGGCCCTTCAATGGATTGGACCCGGCCGCAACTGTTTCGCGGCGCTGCCAGGTCACTTTTCCCAGCAGAGTGGCGACTTTCCGCGACACGTGGACCTAAGAAAGTGATTTTGCACAGAGAGCGTTCAGGGGCGGTTGCTTACTGTTACATACTGTTAGTGAATAAGTTGCGCTGCTAGACTGCAAAGCTGGTGCCAGAAGCTTTGTAGCCAGAGGCAGGCGATTGAAGGCTTGCGGCACATGACTTTTCAAATGGCTTGCAAAAGTAAGAAAACCCAAGAATCTGCCGCCTCCTGCCATTGATGTCCGTGGGGGTGTGTACTTTGTGGGGCGAAGACGTTAAAACACGAATACGTGACTTTCCATGCGAAGACGCGAAATGAAGACTTTTGTTTCTTTCCCCGCGATGACGCGGCTTTCCATGCAAAGATGCGAAGACACGCGAACGGCATCAACAGCGTCGCACGGCGTCGCACGGCGTCGCCACACCCACGGCGTCACACACCATCAACGGCGCCAGTGGCAGTACAGATTCACGGTGTCAACGGCATTTGTGAACCAAATTTCGTCGCGAAAAGCCGAAAATGCGAAGATGTGACTTGTTGACTCGTTGACAACTTGCTGGGAGGCTGGTGAAGTGGTGGGGTGCTGCAGGATCTGCTCTAGGACCAAGCCAGGCCCAGTCCCCAGCGCTGGACTCCTGAAAAAACGCCTAGACCTCAATCTGTCCGTGCCCTGTAATGCCGCGCTCAGGGTGTTCGCTATGTGCAGACGCAGACACGTTTGCGACAGCAACACGCCAAAAAAGGCTAGCGAGCCTGAAAGCGGTTGCCTAAGGATCGGCGCAGCTTATGCAGATGTGCCAATCACAGCGAGCACCCCAGCTCTGATTCTGCAGATTCCAAGCAGAGGCATGTCTGAGCTGTGAGGTTCAACGTCTTCCGACGAGGATGACCCAACTTTCTCCGAATGGGCCTCGCACGGAAACCATGTCGGTCAAGAATTACCTCAGCGGCATGCAAGCAGCCTCTGCCGATTCCTTGTTGTACTGGTCAAGCCAGGTTCTGTATGAGCCCCCATTCGATAACTTGCTGAACGACTTCCGGCGCCCAGATTTCTTGTCAACGGCTGATGACTTCTTGACACGCTGGCGAAGCTTGCGATATCTTGCACCACCCTTGCTGCAATTCATTTTCTATTTCCGTTGGCTCTTCATTGGGCCAAAGAACAGCTACTCGCGACTGCATGTGGATCCCGTTGGTAGTGCTGCATGGAATGCATGCTTGGAAGGTCAGAAAAGGTTTGTATTCTTTGCTCCTGAGCTGCTCCACGACCTGCATGCTGACCTGAGTGACCCTGATCATCTACGGCATGTCTATCCAGAATACATGAAAGATGTCTCGGTTCTGCGCCACCCGTACACAGAGTTAATCTTGGAGGCAGGTGATGTTGTGTACGCACCTCCCAGATGGCCTCATTTTGTAGAGAACTTGGAGGCATCGCTGTCTGTAACGGAGAACTTCGTGCGGTGTCACGCAGATCAATTCAGTCTTTTTGATCAAGCTCTGGCTAGCTCAGAAGACAGTTCTGCACTGCTCCCTGTTCGGGAGAAGCGGCGACTGAAACGCTTCCGACGCATTGTCACGTGGGCGGCATCTTTTGACAAGATTGCGTCACACACGTGGTGAGCGCCGAAGATCCGCTGAATGCGGATGTACAGAACGTGACTATGCAGCGCAATGGTCCGCAACAATTGATGCCAGCCTGCCCTCAGACATGGTAGGTAGCACAGTGTGTGCGCTCAGGAAGGTGGGAACAGGATTCGATGGCTTTGGATGGCACGCTGCAGCTTCTTCGACGCGAACTTGGTGGGACAAAGAGTGACAAAGTAAGAGGGAATGTGATGGTGAAGACATGTCTGCGTTATTGGCCAACATCGTGCAGGTGGGCAGATGCAAGTCCTCACGCTGGATGCCGGCAGGATGCCAGGAGCTGCTTGTCGGGAAGCTCTGAGAGCTCCAAGAGCTGCGTGCAGAGGAGTCGTGGAAAGCCTTCAACTGGGTGCGCTCCCAGCTGCAGCTTGCTAGCATCCTGGACTTCTTGACATTCCCTGTCTCTGTGCAGTACATGTTTGTGCTCTCAGGTCGTCATCTTTCAGGACGGACAGAAGGTAATGCAGCTAGAAGGAAGGGATGCAGCGGCAGCTGGTGTTGAAGATCTTCAAGATGCTCTAGACATGGCGAAGTCCTGAGTCAGTGCGCTTGCGTGTTGTGGTTTGTTGCGGCGTTGTGTTGTTGTGGTGATGTGGTGGTGTTGTGGCGTTGTGGCGTCATGGCGTTGTCTGAGTCGCGAGGGGGTTTCCTATCTTCTCGTGCACGTCAGGAACCAGAGATTGACATCTAGAGACTGTGGGAGCGGCACCAGCGCGATGGCACCAGCCGGCAAGTGCGACCGTCGTTTAACCGCAGGAAAAGGCGCTCACACCAGTTTTGTTGGTCGGACATCTGATGATATGCTGCGGCATGTGGCATCTGTACAGTTGTTTGATATACGTGCTGCTAACTCACGGCACGTGCAAAGTCTTGCCAAAGCTGCCGCTTTGCCCAAATGGAAGACGCAGAAGAATGAAACACAAAGAATGAAGTACTCCAGCCTCAACCTGCACACATTAGCTTTGATTCTGCACGAGGCCGTGCCGTCCGAGAGTTGGGGGTGTTCAGAGATCCAGCATTTTGCAATCAACTTTATGCCTGACGTTGCTGCATCCTTGGCTTCAACATGTCAGCTCGCAGCTTGGTCCTGGCAGTGTTGCACAGTTGTTTATTTCCGCCCGTCCCTTTTGCGTCCCCGAGGCTCCACCTCACTTGCGCCCCTCGGCGCAGCCCTACATTGCATCTAGGCGACCGATGTCCTGTCGGTGCTGCTGGGTTATGCTTTGGCTGTGTTGTTTCGTGTTGAGTCGAGCTTTCGATCCCAGCTGCCTCCTTCTGACAGACGCCGACCCTCCGTTGCGGATGTGTGGGAAATGGACGAGGGGAGATCTGGCCAAGTCGATGTGCCTTGCTAACAATCAGAGAATAGTCCAAGCCTTGCCTGGCATGGCTTCATGGGGCGGCAAGAGCCAACCAACGTTGCATGCCCACATGCTTTCTTATGTTCGGTCATGCTTGAAACCGTGGGAATTCTGTTCGTGATGTTCATCTTTCCGTTTCTTTGGCATCCTCCCCCTCGAGCAGAGGTCTTGCCCTTCTCTTCTCTTAATCTGCATTCAGGAGGCAAGGCACCTCCCACGAACTAGTAACTAGGCCCACTAGGCTACCTAAGACGTTTAGAGTTGCAGAGGCTCGACGCGCCCGCAGAGACATAAACTAGTTCTCCGGCCAACGGACTTATGGAAACCTTACCAGGGATCGGCCAGGGATCGGCCAGGGATCGGCCAGCACGCTGTAGCAGCCTGATGACGCCATCCAGACTCATGTCTTTTTGGGATGTTAAACGATGTCAAACCAGCATAGGCTCTCATGCTTGCCAAGGTGACGCAGCCTGCAGTGCCTGCATCGCCTGCAGCGCCTGCAGTGGCAGTACCTGCAGTGCCCGTGAGGCGCGCCTTAGAGAGGGGCCTTTGGATCGCTTTCACTGGTGTTCCATGCCTTTTTTCACCACGCGAACCGTGTTCCACAGAAATGCGCCTTCTTCGACGAGTGGCTGTGAAAACACGGTTGGGTTCCCAAATGTTCTCAATGTCAGTGTTGCGTGCGGTGCTACCGCTTGTGAACACTTGCAGAAGTTGCTTGGCACCGAGGTTGCTGTCTTCCCTAGCGTGCCACGGGAACACTACCGCCACGCCCCTTCAGACGAGACCTGAGTCAGCGGAAAGAAACACTATCACTAACACATGTTGTAATCATTGTAATCATGTTGTATTATGTCGGGCCCGTGACAGTGTGTTTAGCATCTGGTGCAGGTGGGGACATGGCGAGGAACTCAATTTCGCTCCTGCTTTTCAGCCTCGCTCTAGCCTGTGACGTTTGTGTCTCGACTCTCGAAGCCACTAATTCTCAAAGCTTGCTTTTGAAGCAATGGTCATGAGTCAAGACGATTTGTGAGTGCGTGTGGTTGTGACAATGCCTGGGAGCTGGCGACATCATGACTTGAAAGACCAGGCACTGCAGGACAGGTGATGCCACCCCTAGTCCCAGCCATCAATTTGTTTTCGTTGACATGGAAGGAGACCGGATACTTGTTGACTGCATTCCTTGATCCGGAGGCGATTGCATCTCGACAATGCAGTTCTACAGAGTTTAGTGTTCCCTGTGTTGCTGTTGCAGGCGCTTGGAATACTGTCCTGTGTTAGCCATACGTGGACCGGTCCATCATCCTCCTTCGACTGGGCAGGTCGCTGCCAGGCTGGGATGGTCTCAAGTAAGAACATGCGAGAAGTGGTGCTCCCTGAGGCTGATTTCGGGGCTGTTTGCTTACAGCAGCTCGGCCAATCTAGGACTCAAACCGCTGCCTTTGCTCCGCTTTCCCCTTTCTAAGCCAAGGTACCTAAGATATCTGGCGCTGGAGAAGAGTGGTTGCTTCATTCAACTTTCAATATCCTGCATTCTGTGGGAAGTGGGGATCATGACATGCATGCAGCTTCATGGTAAGAGCAAAGTGAGCAAGGGAAGCCTATAACCGAAGTCCTGACCTTTGACTTGTTGGCTAGCTGGCTTCAGCTGCTCACATCGGCGCCGGCATAGCTCTTCCGGTCCGAAGCAGCCAAACAAATGGAGCGTTATGTTTCGATTGTTTCTTCATCTTGATGGATGAAGGTTGGCGTTCGCTTTACCTTCGTTTGCGAGCATTTCATCGGCAGCTAGAGCCTCGCTTGGATTTATCTCACGTGAAAGATGAAAGATGAATGATTGAGTCCATCCTTCTCCTCCAAGAATACAGGCCGAATGGCCGGAATCTCAAACACCTCCCAGGTTTCCACGGAGTAAAATACAGCCAGCATCACGAGCCTAAGGATTCTTCGCCTGCTTGCTTGCAGCGTCGCGTTGGGCCAGATGCGTGGAGAAGCACTTCCGCTATCAGTTTGAAGAAGGTCGATCTCGCCTTTGCAAGTGTCGTCTATTTTCAATGCTTGCCGTGGTTCTTGTAGAATCGAAGAGCCCAAGAGGTGTGCAGCTTGATCATGCTTCATGATGCCATATCATGCGTGATGATGTCATGTCCAGGACGACTGTCGACTAGTGCAAGGCGGGCACACGGTGCTGTTCTGCGGCGACGCCGAGTCCTGGCTGTCAAACATTGCTTCAACTCCGGAGCCAGTCGCTTGCGATCGCTCGCGTGTTAGCCGACGCTTTGCAAAGGAGCATGTTCGGATCATACCGACAACGACGACAGCACCTGTCCCACACCGGTACTTCAGGCCCAGACTCCACGAAGCCTCGGACTTGCATCGGAGAGTGCATTCAGTGCAATCTGCCCTTCGGAGTCGGACCTTCCAGTTCCAGGGTTTTGTCGAGCTTGGTTTGCAGGCCGGCAGATTTTCTCGATGCACCTTCTCAGCAGATTAGCCGGGCCTATATAGCGGAGCTTGCTGGGGCTTTGCTCTCGCCATTCAATATGCGCTCAAAAGCATCCGCTGCCAGCCAGGTAGTGCCAGTCACGACGCACGACATCGTTGGTGTTTCAACGTCCTTATACTTGGAGCGGTGGCGCTTCTATGAGAAGGCAACGTGCAAACGCAGGTCCCCAACCGGTCTCCAGCAGGGAGATTGCATGGACGATCTGAGACTGTTCGTAGAGCATGCTGCTTGACTGCAAAAAACGTGCATCCACAGGCGGGACAAGCATATGGAACACAGAAAGTAAAGTGTGTCAGAAGGTCGCAGCAATGCTCTTCCTTTTTGCTGGCGTCCAGATCCACGCATTTGATCTGGCATCTCTCGAAAAGAGTTACGTGTGCTCCCGAGCGGTTCCGCACTGCCAGACTCCACCGAACTCTGCCTTCAACACCCTGGAGTGTCCCAAATGGTCGGTCGGTCTTTTCTACTTGTTGCCAGCAGGCCTTGCAATCTTGGGTAGAGTGGGGATGACTCACTGAGGTCGTTTCTGCTTCCAGCTGGGAGAGGCTGGAGCTGTGAACGCGATTTCACAGACATTTAAGTGACATGCTGTTCGTTGCCAGGCGCGAGGAGCAGCTACTTGCGCGATGGGAGTATGGAGATGCTTTTGTGGCCTACCAAGTTGAAGGAGCATTGATGTCGTTTTGTTTGTTCCTACCCAAGTACGGTCTGGGGTTTGGGGTTCAGTGCCCTGCTCAGATAAAAAGAGGGTTCAGGGCACAAACAGAAGGCCACCTGACCTTAACTTTAGGGCTTCAGTTTTTTCTCCGCCTGCTTCTTTTTTGGACTTGTCGTCCTAGCCTAACCTATAGGGTACAGCCCAACCTAACCTGACAAGTGCCTTAACTTGCCCAGCCCACCGTAACCTGACCTAATTAGCACAGGTATGGCGCAAAGGTACAGGGTTTGCCAGTCCAGAGCTTTTGGTGCACACCATTGGTGCAGCGATCAGAACAAGTTAGCCGCCTTCGAACTGGGTTTTGCGTGCAACAGGCTGGGCTTAGAGGTACTAATTGGGTTTGGGGCCTAGCAGACTGGACAGCTTACGTGCCGAAGTGCTCTTGAGGACGCGAGGCTTGCGTTTGGTCGACTTCATCGGGCACAGATTTGGGTAAGATCACATCCCACTTTCAGTTGTTATGCTGCGACATCACCAATCTCAAAGCTGGCAAAGCTGGCAAAGCTGGCAAAGCTGGAGGCAGGTTGGTTGCAACTCTGGAGGCCGATGGCGGAGTTCGTGTGTTCACTTCTGGGAGCCAGTCGAACCAGTCGAACCAGTGGCAGCTCGTCGAGGCTGTGCAAGCACTCTCACTGGTTGTTGAAGTGAAGCTGGAAAGGCATCTCCTGATGGCTGTAAGTCATTCGGAAGATGGTGCAGGTACCTCAGGTACAGTGCATGTTTGGCAGCTTGCTTTTGTCGATGGCCATGATGGCCATGCCCCCGGGCCGTGTCTGCAGAACTATTGCAAACGCGACTTCAGCCAACCTCCAGACAGAGTCGAAGCCAGGCATGGAGGAAGGTTCATCGAAGTCCAGTTTCTCTCTGAAGGCTCGACGATGGATGGAATCTATGACGTTGAATGGCTGGAGCCGGCCAAACTTCATCGCTTGCTGGTTCTGAAACGCTGCATAGGCGACTGGAGATGTGATCTGAGAGATGCAGTGGCTGTGCTGGATGCTAATGACGAGAATGCCATCCTGCGTTGGCTGTTTTTGTGGCCACCTCTGCCTGCAAATTCTGAACCAAGCGGTCACTCATGGATATCATAGGCGTAGAGCTGGGATGAAAGGGGTCCTTGCGTTTGTCCTTCCAGTCCTGGGCCATGAGCCAGTGCAGCCGGAAGCATGCATCAACGCACATGGCTTGCGCCGAGAACGATGCTGCTTCATGCCTTGGATTGTTGCAGACTTTGGTTCAGGTGATCGAATCGGAATGTGCATCGGACTACGCCCAATCGGTCGGTAGTTCCAGGATCGACGGAGTTTGTTCAGAGCAGCTGCTGAAAATCGGTGGTTGCCTTTCACCATGTAAGTGGGAACCTGCAAGACAACCCTGTCAGCACACGCAACCAGTCACTTTGACCACTTGTGTCTTTGATGCCTCCCTGCTTCAGAGCCCTTGCGTTCATCAAGGATGCTCAGTCTTCCTGGACGACAAGCGAAAGGACCAGGCACATGGTCAATGTCGCTTGTGTTCCTATGGCTCTTGCGTGCCCTAGGACTCTAGTGATGCTCATTAGCTCTTATCAGGTGGCCTGGAGAAGCAGGGCTCCCAGCCTCGCGCCACTCCGACCAAGGGTCAGGCTGATGGAGCTTAGTTTGCAGGTACACAATGGTCCGCAAGGATGGAGATGATGCCCGATTGGAGAGTTTGCCGAGCTCTTACTTTGCACATGGCATAGTTTAGCCTCATGCTGGGCAGGCATCTGCTCACAGGCAGTTTGCGTCTGCCTGCGGAATGTGTTGCGAAGCATGTTCTCCGGGCGAGAAGTGAGCAGGCGTGTTGTTTTAACCTAGTATGTCCTCGAATATATGATGGAGTGGGACCTATGTATCTGCAAAGGGCTGCCATGTGTTGTGCAGAGACGGTAGGGGAGCAGCGGTGCATGGAGACCATGGAGATGCAAATCTAGGGGAATGTACATGCGTGGAGCACTTGCTGTTCTGCTGCAGGATTACAGCTGCATCTCAGAAGGCATCTCCGTCGTTTGACCGGTTGGTCAATCCAAGGCTGGGACTTTGCCGACAGTTACAGCACTAGATGAACGGGATGCCCTGTGCCTGTGCCAGTCCGTCTCGAGTGCTGTGTGAATGCACACGTGTTTCAAAAGGTCCGCTGCCGCGGTCCCAGTGTGGGCCCCAGCAAAGTTGGCAAGATACAGAAAGTAAGAAAGTAACTGAAGAGCAACTAATCGAAACTTTCGACAGCTTTTGCGCACTTCTCCTGTTCACTCGGACTCTGCTTTCGTGAGGCTCTGAGCTTCCCGCGATTCCGGCCGTCCGCCGTCCACACAGAAACCATCACAACACCGTTTGAGCTCTCGTGCAATTGGGGAATTACTGTGGTACTCTTGCGACTGCATCCCTTTCTCTGAACGGCCAAGGTCGGCACTTGGTTGCAGCAGCGCCCCCTCGCGATCGCAAGAAGCGGCCTCATGACAAAGCAAAAGCATGTTTTCAACATGGTCCAAGCACTCTGAACGGTCGCTCAACCGCGCCTACCTTACTGGTGCGGCTCATGGAGTGAACTGGGAGAAAGTCCGAGGTCCGGGTTCCCAAAAGCTCCAACTACAAGATGGACAGGCTCAGAATCTCATCGCATAGATTTCAGATTTGAGCCCATTACTGCTGGGAAAAGCGTCGTCTTTGACTCGTGCGGACGCAGCAACTCCGCTCAAAGTACGAGTTTCATGACATGAGGAGATGGAGCCCCGATGTGGTGTGCGATGGTGTTTCTGCCATGGATCGAGCAGCGTGGTGCGTCGAGAACCTGGGTGCCTGAGCCCGCACAGCTTTCGCAGCTTTGGGACGCGCATGGACACGTGACTTAGATGCTGCACGTCGTAATTATAATCGTTTGGACCTTGTGGCTGCCAGGTCTACGACCCACACACGTGTCGCCAGTTGTAGGCATTTTTGTCTCAGGGCTGTCGATCCTGGATGCGCAGCACAGAATCATGGACGAATTTCCACTGAAGCTGCTTGTCGATTGGTGTGCGTGACATATCTTGTGCTTGCACCACGCGCCTGTCAATGTCTGTGGGCACTCGACGGGATTGGCGAGGTTTGGCAAAGACCTCTGGAGTCCCAGCGTGATCTGTGATGGACACGCAGCAGAAGATCGCCTCTTGATGGCAAGGGGAAGCTGAGGTTCTGAAGTTCTGAGAAGCTCTCTCAGGCGCCATGTGGTGTATGGAGCATCTGGGCATGTCGGCGGATGAGGCTCAATGCAAGGCGAGCTCTCCTTGGTCTTCGTTTTGTGGATTCACGGTTCTTTTCTTGCCAAAAACTAAAAAGATATGGTTTGGGGCCCTCTGCTCAGAAAGAAGCTTGGCGGACAACGGTTGGGGAGGGGTGATCGCGTACATGGGAATTGTTGTGCCGTTATCATCGTTCGTCGGGGCATATGTTGTTGGAACACCATTCTCATCCCGATTGAATTTGTCGAGAAAACCAAAGTGCTCCGGCTGATTCATGTACCTGTCGGATAGTTCAAATGGTACCGGGTAGTTCCGGCCGGTTGGCCAGATGGTGGGCCACGGGCCGGATCCTGCCTCCGATTTAGCTCCCTTCGTATATTTCTCTTGGCTCCCTTCATTGCTCCCTTTCGGGCGGTTTGGGTGGCTGGGCTGCCTCGCTTGCTTCACCTCTACACACGCTTAATTTGAAGTGTCGGCGCCGTGAAAGGAGCCTTGAAGGAAGCTATGAAGGGATGCAAGTGATCCTGCGCCGAGGCGAAAAGGGAGCTATGAAGGGAGCCAAGAAGCAGATATGAAGGAGCCAAGTCGAACCAGCAAACAGCGCCGAGAGGGAGCCATGAAGAATATAGGAACCACGAAGGGAGCCATGCGGGAGTCAAATGCGGGGGGCATTGGTGGTTTCTGCTTATGTTGCGGATGCAACCAAACCATCGAGCACTTGTATCGTAGAAATCATTTTGAGACAGGCTGGTCAGTGCTCGCAATGCTGTACTGCTATGCTACTCATGCCTTTTACTGCCCAGTCGTCAGTTGTTGTGCAAGCATTTGCACGCAACGGTCTGTCGTCTTCTTGCGTTTCGTCTTGGATGTGCGCATACCCAGGATTGTAACGAGTCGACGCTTGAAAGGACTTGCCGAATCCCTCAGTCTCGGGATCGGATATCAACCCATACAGCAAGCTTCCGTGCTCACGGTGAACCAGGTGAGGCATTTTGCATACGTTTTTTGACCTTGGAAAGCAAGTGTTCTCTTACTTACAAAAGCAGTTTCTAGATATTTCTAGATCATCTCGCTTTGTAAGACCCCGCCAGGTTGCATCCTGATGTGCCCTGACTCCAGGTGTTGGGCGAATTTCGGCACGAGTTTGCAGTCGCCGCCGCTACGGATGCAGGAGATGCATTTCATTTTCTTATGTGCAATGTACTTGTAGTGACATTGCAGTGCAAATGCGAGGAGATGGGGCATCGAAGCGCGCAAAAACCGATGCGTGCACGGTGCAGAGCACGGTGCAGGCAGCAGAGGTGCCAGAGTCATCAGCGTCACAGCACATTTCGAGAGCCTGGAGCCTACTCAGCGACCGCGAACCGGATTGTCGCTGACGTGTGCCCTTGTGCACTCGCACAGGTCAAAGCAGAAATAGATACGCTTTTTGTGTCCGATGGGTCCGGAGCTAAGAGCGTTAAAGCAGCCAAACATGGCAAACGCAGAGAAAGCACTGTAACAGCAGGCGCGCTATGTCAGAATACCGTTCGAGAGAACAAGCCAGTATTCCATTGTGCAGGCGTCGTCCACAAATTTCCTTGCCAACTGTACTGTCGCCAATAGCTGAGGAATGGGTGGGATCCTAACATTTTGTGCGACGGCATTTCCGCTGCTGATCGTGCTCGATGGTGTGTTTCAGAATTGGGGCTGACTGCACAGAAAGCAAGGCAGATGTGCCATTGCTTCATCGCAATCTGTGTGGACACCAAGCATCTGTGTCGATTTGCAAGAAACACATGCCCACCTGATGCAGGGAGCGAGTCATGGCCGAGTTCGCTGCAAACTTCGGGGGAGGAAGTCTGCCGCAAGCCCGCGGCATTACGACGTCAGCTTCTTGCCCACACTAGTTTGCTTGGGTACGTGGTTGCGCATGCACTGTGCAGGGTTCCTCGCAGCACTTGACACAAAGAGGTTCTGTGGCTTATTAGGTTCTTTTTGCTGTGAGGTGTCCCTATAGGGTCCAGCCCTTGAAGGGGAGTGACGGTGAGGGTGTGCTGCTTGTCGTATGCAATGCTGCAACCTTGGCCTCAGCCATCTTCTTGGGCTTCTGCGAGCACATGGGTCCTTTGCAGATATGCCTCACTTGCACCGTCCCGTGTCGCCCTGTGAAGAGACACGAGCCAGAGCCTCACAAGCCCACTTCCAAAAGTTGGCAGCCGGCAGAGACGGGAGACCGTCAAATTTTGACAAAAGGAGGAGTTGCACCTTGACGCTCCTCGAAAAATGCGGCGCCCCAGGGTCATGGTACAATACGCGTTACAAGAGGTTCTCTGATATTCTGTGGGTGGCCGGAGCTTTCGGCCGCAGCCATCGAGTCGGGGCTACGAGCGACTCGTGCGCGGGGGGGGATCTTCCGGCCAGTGCCTGGCCAGTGCCGGCGGGCCATCCTGAGTTACCACCAAAGATACAAAAGCACCTCGAGACGTAGGATATTGTGGTCTTCTCAAGAGGGCACAGGGCCCATCATTAGCAGAGCAGCAGTGGCTGAACATATCACGCAAATTGCACCGCCCCCCAGTTCAGCGCTCTCACTGATCTCACTCTTCTTTCATTTTCTTTCCCGGCGTGTGTGGGTAGCTTCTTCCCGATCGGGCGATAAGGGGCTCTACAGTGGGCAGTGCCCACGAAACATGCGGTCTTGCCTGATTCCTGAACCCGATGCCTTCCTTGTGCAGAGGGCAGGGTGTCAGAAGTAGTTGACATGGACGGGTGGCTTTGTGGAAAAAGAAACTGCGATCCCTCTGTTCGGGCTATGCTGACATGAGTTTAACACGTGTAGTGCGCGGTGGCAAGGACTTGACATGGATTCCTGTGCCACCGGCAGCTACTGATCTGCTGGTGTGGCATGACGAGTTCGACTACACAGGCAGACCCAGGTGTACAAACACTGGTTCAAGAACAACGGTGCCATAGGTCCTAACGAAGCATCGGCTTGTGTTTTCCAGGCCCTCCCGATGCATCCAAATGGTCCTTCGAGCTTGGGGACAGCGGTTGGGGCAATGGAGAGTTGCAGTTTTACACCGACTTGTCCGAGAATGCCTATGTTTCGGATGGATGCCTTCGGATCAGGGCGCTGCTGCGCAAGCATGCGAGTCGAGACTTCACTTCTGCGCGATTGACAACGCGAGGTAAATTTGACTGGCAGTATGGTCGCTTCGAGGCACGAGTTCGCCTGCCAAGTGGCCGTGGCACATGGGCAGGCATTTGGATGATGCCCACGATTGGTGAACCCTGGCCCAAGGGTGGTGAGATTGACATTGTGGAACATGTTGGGCATGATGCGGGCCGAATTCATGGAACTGTGCACACAGCCTTCTGCAACCATCAGCAGGCGAGTCAGGTCGGGGGCATTTTATCTCTGCCAGTGGATGCATGGCATACGTATGGCATCGAGTGGGGCGCACATGGGATCGACTTTTTGTGTGATGGCTGTCGATACTTCAGCGTCTCGAAGGACGTACTGGGACGAATATTGCTACCTTCCAAGTCGTCTGTGAACTTGAAAATTGGATATGAAAGTAGGGCAGCTGCAGGAGAGCGATGCAAGCAAGGAAGGATGGCCATTTGACACAAGCTTTCACCTTTTGATGTGGCTCGGTGGCAGAACGCTGTTGCGTTGTCAGAAGCAGTACTCAATGTCATCACTGTTGCGGCAAGGAACTTGGCAGTTGGCGGGAACTGGGGTGGTCAGAAGGCGTGCGTTGCTGTCATGTGTGTTGTGATATGCAGCCAATTTGAAGTCTTTCTTTGCATATTTCGGCCAGGGGATTGATCGTGCGGCCTTCGAGGGCGGTGGACAAGTTATGGAGATCTCCTGGATACGCGTTTATCAGCTTCGGCATGAACTGCCACAGAACATGTAGCTCAAGACCACGCTGGCTGTTCCACCTATCCGGACAAGAAGGATTGCAGTGTCGGTGCTCGGGTTTGTGCCCTCATGGCGGTCCGTGCGCTCTGGTCATCTTACGGCGACGGGTGCCTGGTCTCGCGCGCTCTCGAGCAGTTTGTGTCGTGGCACACAACCTTTCAAAATGATTCCATTGTGTTCCTCGCAAAGGGCTGAGGAAAGGTGGCGTGGAGAATAAAGCCCGATACTGCACTGTTGATGTAGCGACTGCAGGGAACTAGATGTGAGCAGTCTTGCTGGTCAGGTGCAGGTGGCGAATTCATCCGACCATCACTCTCCTGAGTGCAGGCAAGTTGGCAAAGAGTTAGTGAACCTGAGAAGGAACATTGCTCTTTGCTGGGCGCTGCGAGCGAACGTGTGAGGCTTCCAAGTGCTCCTAGCGGTCCTAGCACCGAGAAGGAGACGAAGATGGAGTCGCTATTCAGTGATGCCGTGTGGCCATGGTACAGTAGTCTGCAGGAGGAGCGCCTTGAGCTGCATTTTTTCCAACTTGATTTGAGCAAGGCAGGCACATGTTGAAAGCATCATTCTGCATTGTGCCATTAGTGAGCGGTGTCGCAGTGTAGGTAGACCCGGATGCTTTCAAGAAGCAGCTGATGTCGGCCTTGCTTGACGCCGGATTTCCTCAGGACATTCCTCAGCCATGTGCAGTAAAATTGCTCCTGCGAAATGCCAGCAGGAGTTCTCGCCCAGCATAACAATCAGTTTGCGAGCAGGCCAGCAGAGAAAGACATGACATGACATGACACGTTGGCCTGGCCTTGATCTCTGCCTCCACTCCCACTGGCATGTCTGCTCGTCACATCATCTTGCCATTGGTAGTCTGGTCGATGTTCATGTTTCGACCGTTGCTGGTGGTTGTAGGAGTCGCGGAACTTCGGGGCCCTGTGAGCAGCATGTCCAGACCCCAGCTTTTGAGAGGAGCTCTTAGCGAGCCAGGGTTATGTTCGTGGCTCTGGAGATTTGTGGCAGTAGAAGCCCGAGACGCCTGCTAGGCTGCAGGCACGTGCAGGCTTCATCATAGAATGAATTGTCTATTCAGTCTTGAGGGATTGGATTACGACTGTATTCCGACCTGTCTTGTTCCGGCTTTCTCTCGTTTTCGGGATGGACGAGGCAGAAATTGAAGTCCCTGCCCGTGTACAGCATCCAAGTCATGGGCTGCCAGGCCAAGCTATGCAAAACCTCTGGAAGCCATCATGTGTTGGGCTGTTGGGCCTTGTTGGGTCTTACAGAGTCAGTTTGAAGGCGCAGTCCGCAGCCACTGCTGCAGCAATGGCAGCAAATGCCGGGGTGCGGGGCTTGTGATTGAGTAGCTTGGATGTTTTGTGACATGGCAGTTGTGCCAGAGTAGTTGCGTTTCTGAACCGGGTTTGATCTTGGGCGCACTTGGCTGGTGGCAGTGGTGATTGCTTGGAACGACCAAATCAACTGCCCAGTGTCCGGTTTGTTCAAGAAGTTGTTCGGTTGTTCCACAGTTTAGCATGAACTTCCGCGCATGGCCCTTGTGCGCTCTTTTGTGAACACCTGCAAGGTCCTGCCAGCCAGATCGGATGCAAACCAGGCAGGGTTCGGTTTCTTATGAAAAGACGCTGTCTGCTTGGATATGGCGTGTGGTTGCGGTATCATGCCGGCCGCAGGATGTGCCTGAGTCCATTGATCAAGCGGAGGAAGATGAGCCTCCAGTACTGGTTACGGTTGCCCGCCCAGATTTTTTCAGCAACGTGTGCATCAGTGCTTCATAGTTCGTACTCCTCAGGCGGCCCCTGTGACTCTTCCAACGGCAGGGATGAGTACCCACCTCTGGCAACGTTTCGTTTGCGTAAGCCGTGGCAGCAAGTTGCACATGTGTTTAAGGTTCCCCTTCGGCTCAGCTGCCTTGGCGCACAGAGAGTGCAGAGTCCGCCGTGTGCATTTTTCAATTCTCGTCTTGAGCAAGACTCGGGATTTGAGGCCTGTCTTGACTGAGCACTCGAATCGAGGCACAAGTGGCCTGGCTTGTGTTTTTGTTGATTTCCATGTGGTCCCGTTCCTCATAGCCCGCCAAGGTGCAGAGAGCCGCACTCCACTTCTGTCTGGCACGCCAAATCTGGATGCGATGTTTTCACCCGATCGCCGAAGCAGGACACCCTTGTTTGTTTTGTGAGCCATCGAATACACTGGCATATGCTGGCTTCGAGCCTTACGCCTCGTGCCAGGCAGTCAGGATTTCGATCACATGCCGCTCCGCCGACGGAACGCAGAAAGGTCAGCAGCCCATTATACAGGGCAACAAGATGTGTAGGGGCGTGGGGGCTCAAGGTAGGGGTACAGATCAAAACCCATTACCTGGCTGATTCTGGTTTCTCTCTTCGGAAAACGACATGTTTGAGGCTGGAACGTTGATCGGCTTCTGAGATGCTAGGAATGAGAGAAAACTTACAGTTTATCAAGTTTCTTGGCTTTCTGGCTCTTTGGCTTATCTTCTGTGCAGCAGTCGTTGGTCAACTTAGCAGTAGCTTCATGATTACTCTTGCCTCTTCCTCTTATGATATCGTTGCAACGCCGTGTTTGGCTAACACTACGTGAACTCATGTCCTTAGGCCATAGGGTAGGCGCATGATGTAGCATGGTCGTATTCTACAGCGAGTTGGCACTTTCTTTTCGTCGGAGAAAACATTGGTCTACAGCTCTCCCTTTCGTCCCAGCGGCAGGCTTGCTTGTTTGTCTGCTTTTTTTTTTGCCCGCTGCTGCAACTTGTGAGGCTTGCATTAATGAGGACTTGCAAAGTAGACTTTACACCTTGCAATCGGGGAATCCCATGACTCTCCACTGCCCCCTTTATTCACCATCGCCACCTGACCCACCATTTCCCTCAACTGCCACCATCACCCACCAGTACCTACAGTTATTCACACTTACCCACCATTACACGATTACCCACCACTTCCCACCATTACCCTCATCACCCCCATCACCCACCATCACCCACCATCACCCACCATCACCCACCATCACCCACCATTACCCACCTCTACCCGCCATTTCCCCATCAGCCCCACTACCCACCATTACCCACCATTACCCACCATTACCCACCATTACCCACCATTACCCACCATTACCCCCATGACCTACCATGGCCCACCATGACCCACCATGACCCACCATGACCCACCATTACCCACCATTACCCACCATGACCCCCATGACCCACCATGGCCCACCATGACCCACCATGACCCACCATGACCCCACCATTACCCACCATTACCCAACATTGCCCACCATGACCCACCATGACCCACCATGACCCACCATGACCCACCATTACCCAACATTACCCACCATGACCCACCATGACCCACCATTGCCCACCATGACCCACCATTACCCACCATCACTTGCCATTACCCACCAGTACCCACCATGACCCACCAATACCCACCATTCCACCATTAGCAGCAGTGCCCACCATTCGCACCAGCACCCGTAACAGCATGACTGGCCACCTTCTCCGACCGTCCCAGCCATTCCCACCATCGCTTTACCCACATTCCACCATTCCCACCGCTACCCAACATCTTCACCGTTACTCATTCTTCCCACTTCATTCCCGCTATCCGTTTCAACCAGTACACCGTGACAGCATTCTCACTGGTACCAACCATCACCCGGAATGCCCTGACCCCCGCCATTCCCACCATTACCCACCATGACAACCGTTACCCACCATTTTCACTAAACCGGCTGCAGGGGTCGGGGGGGGCTGGGGGGGGCGGGCGGGGTTTGAAAACGGGTTTCGGGGGATCCCCGATGTGCGCTCTTGAGCAACACAAACGTTGCAACTCATGATATACTGGTGAAATCTGGTGAAGTTGCCAAAGCAATGAAGAGTTTTGCCTAGCTGCGTGCAACATGCCAGTGGTGGGTGCAGCTAGCAGTGGAAGTAGCCGAAGTCTTTATGTTGCATATTCCAGGGCAAGGGCAAAGTTTGCCTGGGTTGGGGAGGGGGGGGGGGGGGCGGGGCGGTCCAACAATTCAGAATCGCAGGCTGGACCCCAACGCTTGCGAGCTCGAGATCGGTGGAATGTGGAGGATCGTTGTGATCGCATGTTTCAATGTTTTTGTGCCGACGGGCCGACGGTGCAGAGGAGTTGCGCGTTTGTGATGTTATGTCCAGATCGTTGGGCTGGACAGGCAAAGCAACTGATGAATTGTCAACATTTAATGACCCTGCGTTCATGCTGTGCCCACAGCCAGGTTCACCGCTGGAGTTGGATGAAAATGACGTGGCAGAGATCTTGGCAGAGCTGTACGGGGAGGAACCGATTTTTTGGCAGCTGTCAAAGCACTGTTGAGTTTTAAGCGTGTACTGGTTTAGTAGAAGCACATAGCAAGTCGACATGTTGCAGGAATTGGAACTCGATGCTGTTCCTTGGACGTTTCAGCTTGCAAGCCGGGGAGAGACAAGGCGACGCCATGATTTTGCACGGCACGAAGCCCTGGAAAGAGAGACAAGAGGCAGAGAAGAAAACCAAGACAAAAACCGCAGGGGCGCGCAGATCGCGCAAGGGCTTGCCCCCAGGGCCCATGATAGAAAGGAAGAAACAAAGAAGAAGAAAAACAAGAAGAGAAACACAAAAACCTTACCTGGAATGTTTATCCCTCGTGGCGCTCGGACCTCCGCTCCTCCAACCGTGTACAAAATTTTGCAATAGCCTGCAGGTGCACAAGTGTCAGACCCATGCTCAGATTATTGAACTTGTGTCATGTTGGTTTTGATTTTTTTTGCAATATTTTGCAATGTTGTAGTTTGCACGTTTAAAGGGCAATCAATGCCGTGAAAAACCACTGAGGTGACTTGCACTATGCGATGCGTGCCCATCATATTTGTCATTTCTTGCCACAGGCCGAGATCTCTGCAGACCTGCAAATACTGCAAATACCTGTGAGTCTTAGACTTGGACACAACTGGCAGGCCACGATGCGGACGCTGGCTACGACAAACGTGGGCAGCTTTCCTTTCTGTGATGTCGACTTGACGCCTTGTGTTTTGGCACGAAGGTCAGCTCCAGAGGCTGTGTGGATCGGGAGTTGTTGCGAGATTTGATGGAAGAGCTGAATGGCGGCCCGAACCGCAGATCACGCGACCAGTGTGCTGAAACTGTTGCATGTGTTGACTCGGCGATGAGGCTACACCGTGCTTGCTGCGCAGGCACGACGGTTGCTGTGCAGACTCGCCCTTTGAAACTTTACGTGATATGCTTCATGCATGCATTTCACAAGGTTTGCAGGAGTCAAAGTTTCAACCCTTATGATCCACAACCGAGTCATACTGAGTCATACCTGCCCCTACATTGTGCTTGCGAAATCGGTTGTCAAATCGCGAGCCGCTAACCCATTCTGCTGATATGGGGTTTGACGACGGTTCGAGCTTGAAGTTTCGGACCAGATTAGATTGGCAAATGGATGATGAGATGAGATCGGAGCTGTTTTGAGAAGCACGGGAGTGCCTGGGCACCCCAAGTGTTTGCTGCCTATTTTGTGTTTGATAAAAGCACAATCGCATCGATTTTGAAGGTCAATACCGTCCTGGACGAAGCTGAAGCGTTGGTGAACAGTGGGTCCGGGAGTGGTCGGGCATCGCTGGTGCGTGCCATTTCAGCCTGGTGCCTCTTGCTTTCTTTCAGCATCTTTCAAACCCTCCAACTATACATACAAGCTGCGGTTCTCGTTCCGTTGTCACACCTAGCGCCTAGCGACCATTGCCTTGGGCAATGATGGTGCAAGGTACTTGAACGTTATGCGGACCGAGTCGTCCGCTCTTCAGTTGTAGGTCATTGTTTCTTCGTTGCTGGCGGGCATGTTCGGGGTTGCCCGGGTTTCAGGCCTTGGGCAACTACTTTCCGAGCATGTTACGGCTGCTAGCTAAGTTGTCGTGCTTTCCTTCACTCGGCCAAGCAGGAAGACTGAAGCATTTTAGCAGTCGTGCAGACCTTTGTGACATGAGGACGTTGGGTCCCAGAGAATGGTTATCATTGGGAGGCTTGGCGACAGTCAAACTGCTGCCAGCTGCTAGCATGGTTGAGCAACAAAGATGTGTCAAGGCTGTTGTAAGAGACATTTTCTCATGTTTTTGATGCTGAATACTTTGCTGAAGATCGTCGCGACTCATCAGGCCACTACTGTTGCAGAGGTTTATATGGAGTGTTCCGGCAGTGCCATATAGAAGTCATATAGACAGACATGCGAACATTAAAGCGTACTATCCGCGCTGCACCGTCTGTGATGTTGATGGTTGTTGAGGTGTTTGTACGCTTTCGGAGCTCCTTGAAGGAGGCTGAAGAGGCGCTTTTTGGTGTTTCTACGGTGTTTCTACGGTGTTTCTCATGTTGGAATTGGAGAGCTCAGAACCGAACCAGCTAGCATCAGCCTGTTTTTGCTGCATCCATCTACATGGTCAAAAACAGTGACATTGCCTGCAGGCCTTCCATGAAGATGCGTGGCAGGTAGGACCAACGAGCTTGTGACGTGTAATGTTTTCGACGTTTTCATGGTTCAAAGGGAAGTCGCCAGATGCTCGCAGGCAGTTTGGGGTCTGCTGCAGTCTGCCATTCTCTTGCTGGCGCAGATAGCTCAGAACTCCCAGCTGTCCATAGCCCTGTCCATATTTGTGCATCCGTTATGCATTTATGGATGCAGGCTGGTGTTCCCGATCATGTTCTTTGCCTGGTTGGTGGTTCTTGGCTGCAAGCTTAGTGCCCAAGCGAGTGGCTTGCTTCGTTTGGGTTTGGTTTCAAGCTGTTAAGCCGCCCCACTCCCCCCCAACCCCCTGACCCCCCCGGCCACCCCACCCCCCCGCCCACCCCACCCCCCCGCCCCCACCCCCGCGCCCCCCCTGCCTTTTCACGTCCCGACATACAAATTCCAGCAAAGCAGGACCAATCGAAGGACACTTTGCGGTTTTCTGGATACTTTGCGGCACAAGAAACAAGCAGGAACTCGACCAAAGAGCACGTAGCTAGGCGAGGAGTGTAGCTGCGTAGCTGAGTATAGCTGACGCCGGAAAGCAGAAACTCGAAGGAGTGCTTTTGAACAAATTCTTTCTCAGGGGCGGAGCATGGAGATGACCGCTGCCCAAAGGCACTTGCTAAGACTCACTGATGGTCTCTTTGTATTCTTCGACTTGGCGCAGGATCTTGACGGCCTCATCACTTGGTTCGGCATACTGGGCTGTCTCCTCTGACATTTGGACATTCTTGCTTGCGCAAGTGTGTACTTGTCCTCGGTGAGGTCTCGCGCTGATTGTGGTCGGCTTTGTTGATGGCCGGCTGGCGCAAGAAGATGTAGTTAAAGCCTGCCACCCATCACTGAATGTGGCGTGCGGGGGTGCGTACGTACGGTGTGGAGATACATGCTGAATGCATGCTTGGTGTCCCCAGACATCTCACATCGGGCTGGCACTGTCATTAGCCGCCACCTAAGCTATGCTGCCATCTTTTCATATCTTTTCATTCCATCCTTTATGTCTAGAAGTTTAGCCGGCGCTGGCAGACATTGTTCAGGTATTGCTGGTTCTGCCTTGGGTTGGTGCGTTCTGGACCTTCCATCTGGATAGCAGGGCGCAGTGCTCAGTTGCAAGACATTCCAGCAGCCCGCCAGCTTCAACATGTTTCAACAATGCGCGGCATGCAAAAAAGACTCGTGCAGGACCAGCAGACGTGTGGCTTGTTCTTAACTGGAGCGAGTTCACTACTTTGGACCTGTCCTTGGTGAGACTTCGATGGTGCATAGTGTGCCAACACGGTGACGCAACGTTTTGCTCTGCGCTGAGGACAGTATGTCTTGTCTCTGAGTTAGTACTTGGTCGCCTGCCCAGCCGTGCTTGTGACCTCCTGGTGCGAATTTGTGAAATTTGTGAACTGCGGCACCTCGGGCTCAGGCTTTGCATTTCTGTGGCACTTAGCCGTGTACCAGGAATATGAAATGCCAGCAGCTCATTGAAACTCACCCAAAGTCCGGTGCAACATCGAATTCGTCGAGTTGGCCTAGGACCCTGCAGCAGGGACACCCTCCAGCAGGGAGCCTGGCCAACAAAGTCAATTTGCAGAGGGCACAAACCTGGGCTAGTACGTGGGTCCTGTCCGGATCCTATCAAGGAGCTGCAGGCACCGAGCTACGGCAATCGTTTGCGCACTTAGCTTCTCGCACCTGATCTTGCTACCACGCACAGATCACATGCTACACCTCTGCAGGCCAAGATGCTGGATTCGCCAGCACCTCAGTATTTGGGAGGTCTGAGCCATTGCATTCTGCTGCAACCGCACAGGCAAGTCGTGCATCAGAGCCGTGATGCACCTTCGGATGTGGTGTCTTAACAGTGGCCGAAACAATGACGTGAGTAATTCAAGGGTCTCTGTTCTCATCTGCATTCAGCACGGATGTGATGCCAGTCATCTACAAGGCGAGAGGCCAGTAGCCAACACAGGATCGTGGTGCCTGACCTTGCGGAGAGCACCGGTCTTCTAATGGAAGACGTTAATAGGTTTCAGGTCAAGAAGTATCTGCCGCTGGTACTGCCAGCTCGCTGTGTCCGTGCAAAGAGGTGTCTTGTTCAAGGGGTTTTGCTGCGTCTGAGTCACTCTGAGGAGTTTGCGGGGTCATATCTGCAAACCTGACTTCTCTCCGGGGTGGCATTGAGGCGTCCTTTGACACCACATCAATCGAACGCTTGAAGATGGAGTTTTAGATTCGGCTTGAGAAATGGTCCTTCTCAGTCTTCTGAGTTTTGTGTTTCCTTGGAGTGGAGCGGCCTTGGCCTTGGGAAATTGTAGTATTCGGCCCTGACACATGAGGTGAGACTGAGACAGGCTGAGACAGCATGGGACAGTGAGACTTCTTTCCCAATGCAGCTCATGCATGTCCCTCGTTATGAACAAGTCTAAGAAGTATCAAGTCGATGTGTCTCCTGCAGGGGATGGCCGCGCTGTTGCCACATGATTCCAGAATACACCGGACATCTTAGCTTGGCACTTGCGTCGAGTAGACAGACAGCATCTTTTTGCATATCGCGTGTGGCGCACCATGAGCAATGCTTCGCAGATGGGTTTTGTCAGCCATGACCTTGGGATTCTGCCTTTGGATGCGCATGCTGCAAAGAAGTGGCATCAATGTTTGCAGATGTTGCTACCGGCCTGTGAGTGATGAGGTAGTGTTGGGGCTGCAGCTACAGGTTCGACCGGCAATCGCCCATGCACTCTAGACAGTGATGCTGTGTGATGCAAATTTGCCAACTGCTGTAGGCTTTTGTCTGGAGTTGAAAAACAGCTGTGCTGAGATCCGATCTGCATAGAGAGGTCGCAAAGCAGCAAAGTGCTGTAGACCCATGCAGTCCTGATCTACCTCCTCAAAGTCGTGACGGAGCCTTGGGCAGGGCTTTACAAATCGCTCAGCGCATGTTTTGTTCCTACACATTTTCGCTCATACGAGCTGAGTGACTGAGGGAGCTCACTGCGCACCCCTGCAGGAGGTCCGCTTTGCATTTTGGATGGATGCATTCACTGACCGTGTTATGACTTATAACCTGTCGTCCGTTGTCGTTGTCGTTGCTCGTAGGATCTCGTAGGTTCAGTCATAGGCGGTTTGGCGACGACATGTTGTCGTTGCTTTTGTTTGTCGCTACCCGTCGTTGGGCGTTCATCAGGTGATTTTCGAGGATCGGACCCTAAATTCCGCCATAGAGGGCTTGAAAGTTTGGAGGGCGGTGGTACCATCACAAGAGCTCTTGGCATGTCCCTTGCGTTTGAAAAGCTCTTGGAGCATGTTCTGTCATGTTGTAGGTGGTTGAATGCACCTACTCGGGCAAGTACTGCTTTCTTTACGATGCCCGCGCCCCAGGGGTGCAGTTGCAATGGAAAGGCAACAGGCGCAAGAGAGCCGCAGTAGAACAGTAAGAACAGTAGAATCGCACCAGAGCCGCAATTACACGTGTCCAAGGCTTTGGAGCCTTTTTGCGTGGAACACTCCAAGTTTTTTGAGAGCCCCTATGGGGGTAGGCGAGCCGAAGGCAGGTCGCACATGTTGTCTACTACTGCATGTGTTTTTTGTTTTAGCTGCCTTGTTGCTGTTGCCAGGTCCCCCAGTTTGTACAACCACAACAACGGCAACTCACACAGCATCATCCTCAGAAACCTCAGTCAGAGCAAGGTTGATCAAGCCTGGGAAGCTATGCTGACCAACCTCGTGTATCCAGGTGACGGCTACCACAACACAGACGGTCGCGGTCTCGAGCACTGCAGGCTATTCACCAGGCACACTACAGCTAAAGCAGGTGACGGGCTTCACAACGACAAGACCCCCAGCCGTCGAGTGCAGTCATCGCCTCGGATAAATCTCCAAGTAACCATCGCTGCTTTGGCAAACGACTGGCAAACTCCCGCTAACATCTGTGAGGAGACTTCTGTTACGACAACCCCCACCCGTGGCTTGTGAAGTGCGGCTGGTCTGCCTGCGCATCATGTGCGCCTGCTGAGCCTACCGGAAAGCGGTCGTGACACCCTGAATGTTTGCTTCCAGGTGGTGAGTGTGCTTCCATCATCCTTCCGTCCACAAGTGCGGAAAGTACGTCAACAACTCAAACTTCTCAGTATGTTTGGAGTCTGGAGCCTTTCTCATCGACAAGCATCACGCATACGACGGCTGTGCCGTGCCAGAGGTCGCAAATGATGATTGTCACGGCCAGGCAAAGAAGTGATGATTAGATGGATATGGAATGGTATGGCAAAAGTCTAGATAGTCCAGAGGCCGGACCGTCAAAACACGACCTTGCCACTATCGACGCAAGCACCATCCAGCACAGGTCCAGCCCCTACTACTGCAATTGATCTGCAAATCTGAGAGTCTTTCTTCTGTAATGTACATGTACAAGAGCTAGTTTTCAGGCAGTCTGCAACTGCAGACGCTTTCAGCAGCTCAACAATTGTGTGTTGGCTTCTGTGTTGGCTTCTGTTGTCTTTGCAGAATCTTGTATAGGTGCCGGCAACGCTGGGGGTGGAAGTGGGCCAGCAGGGGTCTCACCAGGAACAGTCAGTGCGCGTGTTTTGACAGCAGTTTTGCGTGTCAAGTTTTGCAGGTGTTCCAAGATGATGGCTCATTAGAGGATGCTGCCAACAGTGATCAGACAACTGATGCTGCCGCGCGAGCATCTCAGATTCCTGTTGGCGCCATCCCTGGTCCCTGGCATCGGCCTCAGCGGCTTCTCATGAGGACTACCACTTCTCGTCAGCTGGACTCCAAGACTTGCCTGCAACTGTCCTACCCTCAGTCCTTGGGAAAGTATATGCAACATTATGCAACCACATTTGGAGAGGCCGATCAGGCTGGGGCCGTCTAGGATCCGGTGGCTTCCATCTCCGGTTCTGTTCTGGTCTGTGGCTGTCGGCTTAGGTGCTACAACGCCATCGATTATCTTGGCTGGCCCACGCTCTGTTCGTGACCCAGAGGTTGTCGTGGGACGCTCCTTTCTTGCCATCGCCTGACCTGACAGGCACTTGGGCGACGTGCGTGACGTGCCCTGAATGTTCAGGCCAGTTTGTGCATTTTCAGCATTTTCTCAGTGTTAGCTCCGCTAGAATCCACTAGAGTATGGTCAGCTCTCTGCTGCAGGAACCACCGTGACTGGAACCACCACAACGGAGGTTCTGCCACCGACTGTCACCCTCACCACGACATTTATCTCTGCTGGGGTCTCATACACCGCTGTACGCCTCATTTCCAACGTGCTTTTGTGCATCAAGATCTTGAGGGCACTACGGGCATTTCATCGACGACATCTGTACTGAGCTTACTCTCAAGGGCCTTCCGGTGTGGTGGCCCACGCGCACTGCATTTTTGGCTGTGCGAATGACTTGAATACCCCTAGTCGATGACGCGCACTGCCAGCAGCACCACGAGCTGGACAGAGCCGGGCTTGGCTTTTGCATGCTTTTGCACACATTTTGCTTTCGAAATTGCTCCTGTCATGCCTTGCTCGCAGACATCTCAAACATCAACATTCACAACGACGACGACCGACAGGCTACCGGCCCATAGCATGCTTTTCTTCTGCTGGGTTGTTCTTGGACTTTTTGACGGCAGTGACATGTGAGGGCGTGTGCTTCGCCGAGCCCAGTTCTGTCCAGTCTAGCCAGGAACAAGGACCCGCAGAGGGGCAGAGTGGCAGAGTTTTTGAGCCAATGTTGAGTAAGTGTTGAGATAATGATGTTTATGAAGCAGCGCTTGAGTATTTTGTCATATATGGCCATACCTTGCAACGCCGGGAACATGTGCCCTGGAATGGCTGAAATGACGCAGGAGCTCTGTGCAAACCTCAGCCTGGGCCTAAGTCACCGCTTCCGATGCCGAGAATGTTGCACATTTTGCATTTGGTGCTGCGATTGAGCTAAACTAAACTTAGCTCGTACTGGCAGGTGCGGGAGACTTCTGTGTCGTCTGTTTCCCAGTCCGGGTTAGATATGGTGAATCACAAATCACGTTGATCCCTTGTCCGCATCTGACTTTTGAGGCTCAAATTCAGGATCACCCGTGTCTTTACACTGGAGATCTTTATCTCGAATGCCCCAGGACCGAGAACATCAACTGCACTGCATCCACATCTGTGCCACGTTTCGGATTTTCGCCTCGACCGCCTCCCGCAGCACCTCTCTGTTCTTGGAAAGAGCTCTTTAGGAAATTCAGGTCAAAAGGCTGCAGAAGTGCTGTGGACTTTTGGGAGCGTTCAGTTGGGCACAGTGCTTTTCAGTTCAGCAAGGGATTGCGCAGTGTCCGATTCCTAAAAAGCATCTTGAATTATCTTGAATTCTGCTTACTACTGCCACTCCATGCGACTGATCGTGTCCGGAGACAGCCACTTGTATCGCGTGAGGAACAACATCCTGTACCGAGAGCCGCGGTTGCTGTCCGAGCCCGATGAGTACTGTAAGCCAGGCATTAAAAGCAGCAATCATCGTGAACGTACACAATGCATGCAATGCCAAGTTATGCCAAGGCGAGGCGAGTACCAAACAAAGCTGGACTCCAAGCTTGCAGCTTTTCGCAGCTTTTGGGCGCAGGAACCTCGCCATTGCTGAGGTGTAGGATCTGCGGCTTTGCGCCCAATGACTGGCAAGATTCTGACCCTCAAGCAGGCCAGGTTGCTGTGAAGCTTCACCGTGAAGGTTTATGATGGGCTCAGCTCCAGAGAAGGCCTCCTTTCATGTTTTCGTATCAACATTTGAGTATGACAAGTTGCTGGGTTGAGGGCACGTAGTCATGCGTGGAAACCTGATTGCTTTGGCTGTATCATGGGCTGCATGACAGCGAGCATCCAGCAGCAGCCCGGCTGGGACATGGGAAGCAGAGTTGCCTGCAAAATTCCGCTGGCATGTGTTGGGGCGCCTGGGGATCTGATGTGTAGGGCAGGGATGAGGATTGAAGTTCAGTAGAGTGGGGAGCACAGCGAGGGGGTATGAGGGGGTCTTCCAAGGGGTCACAGTTTGGGGTTTGCTGAGACATGGGTTTCATGCATTTTCAATTTTCCATGTGCATCTATGTGCTATCTTTCAGCAGACTTCGTGGCACAGGCCAGATTTCAGTCAGCTGGGCGCCGAGTTGCTGCACAACCTGCCCGCCAAATCTGAAGTGGCTGGCTTTGGCAGGTTTGAAGTTTGGGGCGAACGCGTTGCGAACTTATCGTTTAACCAATGCAGCTGCGCAGTAGATAGGCCGAGAAGCATCCCTTTTTCATTTCGTTCTCAGGATACTTGGGGAAGTCAATGAGACAGATATATACGGCTATGGCCTTTTCCTCGCTGACAATTGCAGCAGGCCAAATCACGCACAGAGGGGTTGAGAGTTGCTGACTGTGCCATCCTTTGCTCTCTGTGCTGACAGGCCAATCAAGCAAGACCCCGTTGGCTACGTCGAGAAGATGCGATAGCCTCAGGTGCGTGTTGAGGTACTGCCCACATTGACTGCACGGTAGCAACAGTTGTATTTGCACGCAATCGAAAAGACCCAGCTAATGTGGCCTTGGGTCGCGCATTCGAAATGAACACGCAATCAGACCATGTCTGAAAGCAACAGAAGTGTTCGAAACACATTAGTGATTCCGACAAAGACACCGCATGAACAAATCAGGGGCTGTCCATCGCCTGCGATTTATGCATGAAGCTCTGAGCACTCTCCGTTTCGATCCCGAATGTCTCACTCAACTTCTTTGCCGAGGGATCCCTACCCCTTCGACGAGAGGTGTTGCACGTTGTCAGAGCCTTGCACATCCATCTCATCCAATGTCATGCTCTTGAAACGTTTGCTTTTGTTCGCGCAGGGATGCTTATCAGGTTGACCTTACGCTCCGCTCTTAGTTGGGCATGGCCTTGCCTTGCAAGTCCAGCAGCTCAGTTTCCCCCACGACAAAAGTGTCAGGTTTCAGTTGCCCCCGAACTTATACAGCGTGATCCTGATGGCGGGGGTGCTGGGTTCTTTTTGTCGCATCAAGCTTGTTTCAACATGCCTGGGGTACTGTGAGGGACAGTAGCAAAGTCTCGCCAGGTTCGAGTAAACACATCGCTGGGATTCCTGCCGATGGGAGAAGCCTCGCCGGACCGATCCCGTGGGCAAAGCGGAAGAAACAGTTCGGTAGCTTCGTGAGTGGAGAATCCTCGGAGGTCATACCCGCGTCATGCAGTACTCCTAGGTAGACGGTTTTGTTGGCGGTGCAGAGATGGCCGGAGAGGAGATTTTCGACATGAACGAGTCAATGATTGGCACGGCCGATGCCTTCAGGCTTTGAAGTGGCATTGCGCTTGCGAACGCACAGCAAACTGTTTGTGGACCGAAAGTCCTTTTTCAGATTTGGATGTGCTGTGCTTCCAATGGCAGGTACTCATTGGGCCTTGCACGAGCGCTTTGCTTGGTTGCGGCACTGCCTTGGGCTTTGAATGGGCCTTGAACGGGCCCTGTAGGTTGCTTCAAGTTGCTTCTTAAGTGGCAATGCAGGTGTTCCTAAGTGCTTTCGTGGTGTGTGAACGGCCGCAGCCGGAGGGGAAGGTCGAGGGCCGGCAGTGGCTGTGACGCTGAGCATCGGCGCCGCTCTTTGTGGGGCTCTCCTTCCGAAAACTAGATTTTTTTCCGGAATCCTTCTGATGCTCCTAACCAGGACCTCTGCTGAACGGGTCTCAGTCAAAGCCCATCAGCCTTGGATCTGAGAGTACGTGCAGGACCAGAACAGCTTGACTCACACCTAATGTCAGCGGGCCGGAAAGGCGGAGAGGGTGAGGGTGAAGAAAGTCACGCGAGTCGTGAGTCGGGCAGAGGCGAAAGCACCCAACGCGGGAAGGGTGAGGACAAGTCTGGGGTGGCACTCTCTAGGACATTGCATGATCCGACAGGATCTTGATGAGAGCGGGGATTCGGGGGGATACCACGGGGCGAGACCGGGGGGGAAGGGTGAAAAGAGGCAGATGTAGGGAGGGTCAGGAGAGAGGCTTCATGCAAGGCTTCTATATATTTGGGGTGCAGGCAGTGGGCAAGAAGAAGGGCAAGGCTTCACTGGTGCTGCCCACTTCTTCCTGACACACAGACACGAAAGCGGGAACACACACCCTTCCCAGCAGACTTCCAGTTGGCAAGGTTCCATACCATGCCGCTTATTGCGTGAGCAGCCCACAGCATGTGTTCACGAGTGCTCCGCAGAAGATGCAATCTGTCGACCGGCAAGAGCAAGTTTCTGCCGCCATGGTTTTCATAGTGACTTGGTGGGACTACGAAGCTGGCAATGTGGCCTCCAACATGCAACTGATCATTGACTGCGCGTCCTGGGCGTACTTCAGCATCCTTCGGCTCAGGTCCCCCCCCCTAAGAACTCACCCCAAAGCCAAGGCTGAATGCTGGATATTTTTCTTTTGCTTGAATGATGGCCCTCGACTGGGTAATGCTACTAGGAGCGCATCCGGTTTGTTTGGAGCAGGCCCTAGGCGGTCTTTGTTTTGCTATTCAGGTTCCCCTTGCAATTAACTTCTTAGTCCGCAGTTTGCAGTGGTGCCTCCATTTAGAGTGAATAGTCTCAACATGCGCCAGCACAGTAACTGTACGGATTTTACTCAAGTTTCATCATTGACTCGTTATTGAAAGCTGTTGAATGATGTCCCTAAGTTATTTCAAGCCACGCTTCGTAGTCAGTGTAGATGCAAGTGCAACTCAAATTCGTGAATCTTGGACGGTGAAGCCGTGCGAGAGTTTGCCTGCAGCGTGCATAGGCAGTAGCTCTTGTCCATTGTGCCCCAAACGGGGTTTGGACTCAACCATGCGTTTGTGGAAAGGGGCTAGACAAAGCATGGTCACCTGCAGCTAGCCTCGCCATGTGTTTGCGTGTGTGCGCGCCATGAAGAGGACCTTGAGGCATTATTCTGCTTTGGATGGATTGGCGGTGTCACTGGCAGCCGTGTTTGAGAGTGCCACAAACATGCTAGAAAACTGAGCCTCCAGCTCTAGCCACTCACTCGGCACGCTCCCGGATTTCAGTAGTATTGTAACTGGGTGTCATCGGACTTTCTGATTTGCCCTCGTGATGTCTTGATCGGCATGAGCCAATGCCTCAGCTTGACTCGCAATGTCTTGCGAAGTCTTGTGGTAGGTGATACTCGGAAATGCTTCTCAGGTCGGCCAGGAAGCCAGGAGCCACTTCCCAGGCCGACATTTGACCGCCGATGATGCACATTGTGCATATTGTGCGCATGCTCTTATCTTGCTCTCGTGTGCCTGGAGGATCCGCTTGCGGTCCAGACACTCTAGGTCCCGAAGGTACAGGACACATGAAGTATCATGAAGTCACAGCAATGAAAACACCTGGTCCAATGGCATTTGCAGACGCAAGGAGCAGGACTCCGCTACCACGGGCGTCGCGGAGCGGATGCATCTTGTCAGCAAGCAGGGTTTCGGTAGATCTACAGCCAGTTCCGTGGCAGTGGCATCGCCACAGGTGGGAGGCGCTCCGTAAGCCGTCATCGGCGTAATCGACGTCGCTCAGGGAATCCCCAGGAGGCCGAGGCACCGGAAGTGTAGGAAGAGTAGATGCAGGGGATTGACCAAGTGCCAAGTGCCAATTGCATGTTGTGCGACTTGGCACCGCAGGCCTCCATTGGTGAGCAGGCTGGAAGAGGCAGCATGCCACTGCCCTCCCAGAGTGTTACTTTACTTTCCTATAAAGACATGTGGCTGACACCTTCAAAGTTCTTTTTGCTTGGCCCAAATACTTGTAACTTAAAACCAAAACTGCTTACACATGTTTCCTGTACGATTATACGTTTTGCGTTGCAATATATTCACTTACACAGGTTTGCTACATGTCTGGATAGCTTGTTGTGTAAGTTGAACCGAATCATTCACATTCTTGTATTTGGCTTCTCTGGACGTATTTCCTGTGATTTCAGCAATTCCGCCACTTGGAGCCGAGACAAGTAATTTAAACCTCCATACGTCGCAGCCGGGGTTTGCCTCCTTGTCCCCAAGCCTTCAATTCTCGATCAAGAGGCCAAAAGCAAACCTCCCCATGCGAGCCAAAAACCATGCCAAAAAGAGACCGAAAGCAAAACCCCAGCTTTCCCAAGCTTGGTTTGCTTTTAAGATATATATATATATGGTACCCCCCCCCTCAAAACCTACCTTTTCATACCCTTTTCTATGTCGAGACGTTATGTTTATGATATTCGAAGCCGGATGTATATATATATATATATACATCCGATACGAAATATTAAATACTTAGAGACTCCAATAAAAAATCTCCAGGGCCAGGAGTTTTAAAACTCTTCTTGTGGCTAAGCAAGGAGTTTTAAAACTCGTGGCCCCGAAGATTGAAGATTGAAGATTCCCCAGAACTCTTTCCAGGAATCTTCAATCTTCAATCTTAGGGGCAGGGAGTTTTAAAACTCCTCTTGTGGCTAAGCAAGGAGTTTTAAAACTCGTGGCCCCGAAGATTGAAGATTGAAGATTCTCCAGAACTCTTTCCAGGAATCTTCAATCTTCAATCTTCGGCGGCATGAGTTTTAAAACTCCTCTTGTGGCTAAGCAAGGAGTTTTAAAACTCCCGGCCCCGACTACTTGAGATTGAAGATTCCCACAAAGAGTCCTGAGACATCTTCAATCTTCAATCTTCGGTGGCAGGAGTTTTAAAACTCCTCTTGTGGCTAAGCAAGGAGTTTTAAAACGCCCGGTCCTGAAGATTTTTCTTATGGTTAAAAAACATCTTACAAAACTCTAGGCCATGGTATTATATATTGAAGCATTGAAAGTGGTTCCATTATATGTGCACAATTTCGACGCGCAGCTTGGGCTATAAACGCGCAGTTTCCAGCCATAGCATACTCCTCATGTCGGCCGTCAACATGAAGGTTGCGTGCGCGTTTAGGGTAATTGTAATCCTATATGGGTTTTGGGGCTTCTCTATAAAACGCTAAGCCCGGGACCTTTAAATCTTAACCCTATAGGGTTTAAAGGTTATGTGTTTCAACTTAATTGCAGGCTTAGGTTCAAAATCATATATCTTAAACCCTAAACCTTTAAACCTTAACCCTATAAAGTTTCCAGGTTGCAAGTTTCGTTTAATTACACGTCAAGGTTTAAATACATATATCTTAAATTCTAGACCTTGAACTAACGCTTAAAGTTTAAGGGTTTCGGTGTATTTGCAGGTCAAGATTTAAATGCCTATATCTTAAGCCCTAAACCTTTAAATCTTAATCCTACAGGGTTTAAAGGTTAAAGAATTGGGCTTATTTGTTTAATCCTATAGGGTTTCGGGGCTTTTCTTTAAAACTCTAAATCCTGGATCGATAGGGGTTTAGAGTGCCCATGTCTTAAACCCTATACCTTTAAACCTTAACCCTGCAAGGGTTAAAGGTTTCGTGTTTCCGTTGAATTGTAGGTCAAGGTTTACATGTCTGAAATTCAAATCCTAAACCTTTAAACCGTAACCCTATAGGGTGTTTAAAGATTAAGGGTTGAGGTTAAATTGCTTAACCCTATAGGCTTGGGGTTTTGGGGCTTCTCGTTAGAATCCTAAACCCTGGATCGATAGGGTTTTGGAGAATAAGCCCTGACAATACCCTTAAACAAACCCAGAACACGCAGTGGAGTGAAGTGGAGGGGAGTGGGGGGGTGTGGTGGGGAGTGTTTTTTGGTCCTACTTATTTTGGAAGACCGACCCCTGGCGCCCTCTCCCCTTCTATTTAGAAGCAAATTAAGTCCTTATAAGCAAATTTGTTGCGTTGGAGATTGAGTGAGTACACAGATTACGTACCAACTCATACCTACATATAAAGCCAATACACAGTATGAATATGCATGTGAGTATTGCAACACTACGACGACTTCAACCTTTAATTTGAGGGCCGATTCAAAACTGAATCGGCCGATTCAAATTTGAATCGGACATATTTCATCATTATAGGGGAGCCCGCTCTTTAGGACTTAGCGAGAAGGATTTAGGGAATAGGCATTGAAGTGGGGAGCATCCCAAAGCTTAGTCCCCAAATCCTATTTTCTAAGGGGGCGCAAATCTTATCGCTAAAGCTTTAGCGTTAGCGAGAAGATTTATTGAGTAAGGTTGGCTTTTGTGTGAGTTAGGGGGGGGTCTCATTTTTGGGGATTTAAGGCTACTTAAGATTCCCTCTTTAGGATTTGGTGACTCCCTCCCACCCCTCTTCCCCAATATGATTTAGGGAGTGAAATTAAGGGATAAGATTGAGGGATCCTTCTTTGTTGACTTTAGCGATAAGATCTACTGAGTAAGGTTCTTTGTTTTATGATGTAGACGGAGAGGCTCGTCTTTAAGATTTATAGTAAGGATCCCCCTCTTTAGGACACCCCTCTTTAGGGCTTAAGCAACAGGATTTAGAAAGTAAAACTAAGGAATGCTTTTTAGGATTTAGGGGATCTCCTCTTTAGGGTTTA